CTCTTTAGGTAATAAAGACCACAATGGAACCCAACGCTATAGATGGCACATGAAGTACCCCGAACCGGTCAAATACTTCCCCCTCCCTTGCGACGAATTACCTAGACTTAGGTATAGAATGGAGCGCTTTGACATCCCGCACTATCTCCTCCCTAACAACATCCCACCACACCTCCAGCCTCAAGCCAACCAAGCCGAACAACAACCCGAGCTTCAACCCGACAACCAACCCGAACATCAACCCGACCACACCGCAAATCAAGGATATGAAAATGTCCAACATGATATCCCTGACCTTTCCCAAAACCCGCCACCACAAGACTTCTTCCAACAACTCTTGGCGGGGCAACAATCACTCCTAACCGGTTTCCAAACAATGAGCCTCGATTACACAAAGATGGGAGAGCAATTCACCCAACTTCAAGGAGAGATAGGCCACTACCGGGACGAGCAACAAGAAAGGGACCGACGATTTGATGCATACCGGGAGGAGCAACGAGTGGCTTTTCAAAGGTTGGAGGAACAACGGGCGGCCGACATGCAAAGATACGAAGAAGACTACCGGAGGATGTATGGGCCGACATATTTATACATGTCCCAATTTGGCGGGTTTGCATCTATGGCCTCACCACCACTGGCACCTTCTTGGTATAACCCCTCCGATTGGGGTAATTTTGGCAGCTCTAGTTCCGACGGTGGTGGCTATGATGGCGGGGATACTACCATGGGCGAGGGAGGCGGTGATGACATTCACGGGAGCGGCTTGGGGGGAGGCTACTATGGTGGAGAAGGCGGGCACTAGGGATAGTGCTATGATTCAAGTGTGGGGGAGGAAGATTATCTCTTGGTATGTACACTCCTTTGTCTTTTACCTTGTACTAAGCATTATTTTCTTGTATTAGTTGTACACAAAAAAAAATTAATAAAAGAAATGAAATGCTAGTTAGGTTGAAAACCCAAAAGGGCAATCTAAGCAACAAGGGCTTACAAAAAATGATGAGTGAGTGGTAAGGAAAGGAAAAGAAAAGAGATGCTAGGATGAAAACCTGAAAAGGCTCCTAGGCAAAATGAGAGATATGAGAGAAAAATTTGTTTTATTTTGCAGGACATTATCTCTTGAAGAAGAATAAGAAGAAGAAAAAGAAAAAGGAGAAAAAGAAGAAATAGGAAGCATAGAAGACCATTAAACCCAAGGAAATGTGTTTTGTAAACTCATTCACAATACTTGGTGGTTTTAGTTTCTTATTTCTTCCTCTCTATGAACTCATGATCTTGTGATAAACATTGTGTAAACATTTGGTTGTACTCGAGGTCGAGTAAAGAAACTAAGTGTGGGGGAGTTGACATTCATGTTATTTCCATGTTTATATTTGTGTTTTTGATTAGTTTTGAGTGATTGTTACTCTAGAAATTACACACTTTTGGTGTAATAGTTTAGTTTGTAAAATGTTTGTAAATTGTTTAGATTAGGTTTGTTCTGAGCTCAAACAGGTCCAAGACCACTCTAGGGACCATTGGTGAACATCACAAGTGGAAGGAAGGTGCAAAAATTCCAAGAAAAAATGAAGATCCTGATTTTTGGTGTTGTACCCGGTCGAGTATGCCCTATACTCGATCGGGTAAGTCGCTGAAAAATCAAATCGGATCAACTCGGGAACAAGGCAACATGCAGGGGAGATTTTGACCACGATCGAGTGTCCATACCCGATCGGGTAGCCGACATACCCGATCGGGTATGTCCATGTTTTTCCAGCTTCCGCGAAGCAACTGAAGGCCCGGTCGAGTACCCTACATACCCGATCGGGTACACGACCCTGCAGGCCTAAAAATCCTATAAATACACCCCATTTCATCCACAATAAATCACCAATTCCTATATACTTCTAAGCTCAGTTTAGACAAGTTATTTCTTTATATTTTCTTCATGTTTAGTCTCCAAATGAGGAGCTAAACTCTTCCATCTTGGTTTTGCTACTTTGAAGCTTAATGATTTGTAAGTTGTGAGTTATTTTCTTTAATCTTCTTCCTTGAATATTAATTACTTCCTATTCATATTCCATATTAATATTTGAGCATTGCTTAAAGGATCAATTAGTTTTGTTTCATATATTAATTATTACTAGAATCAATCGGTTAATACGCTTGTTATTAATTCGGTTCTTTCAATGGTAGTAAACTTGGGTTGTTAATGCATGCTTCTCGTGGTTAATAAGCCAAGAGGAATTAATTATATTGATTAAACCAATAAACCGCTTGTGTTGAGGTGATCAATCTCAATCGTTTTCATCTTAAGTTTATTGCTACTATCAAGTTAATATACGGCGCTTGTTCTATATTAACTTGATAGTAAGTTTTATTAATGAACACATCTCGTTATTAATAACTACCCTCGATGAACTGGATATACTCCTCGATTGAGTATTCGAGAGGAAGATAGTTACAGATATAACCGGGATCGACGAACATTTCAGTAAGTGGATAAAAGCAAAGCCAAGTCTTCTTCTTATTAATTAAACCACATAACTCGTTCATCTTCGTGTTTAAATATAATTTAAGTTCATTTACTCAATCTAACCCCCCCCCCCCTGTTACTAGTTTATAAAGAGAGAAGTATTCCTTTCCCTGTGGATACGAACCTTACTTCATTATACTACGTGTAATTGTTGTATTGTATTATTATTTTGAGTGCACACCACGACAAAGTGCACGTCAACCACGCTCTGTTGCAGAATGTCAACTAAGAGCAGATTGGCCTAAATGGAAAGAAGCAATCCAGGCAGAATTAGATTCTCTGACAAAAAGGCAGGTATTTGGTCCGGTAGTGCTAACCCCACCAAGTGTAAAGCCTGTGGGACATAAATGGGTATTTGTCAGAAAGCGTAATGAGAAGAATGAAGTCTTAAGATACAAGGCTCGCCTTGTGGCGCAAGGTTTCTCACAACGCCCTGGGATTGACTACGAGGAGACATACTCTCCTGTAATGGACGCTATAACGTTCCGATACTTAGTGAGCTTAGCAGTTTCCGAAGGACTAGAAATGCAATTAATGGATGTAGTTACTGCATATCTCTATGGGGATCTTGACTCAGAGATATATATGAAAGTACCTGATGGACTTTCACTGCCCAAATCAAGTGACTCTAAACCACGGAGTGCATTTGCAATAAAATTGAAACGCTCACTTTACGGATTAAAACAATCCGGACGAATGTGGTACAACCGTCTAAGTGACTACCTGATTACAAAGGGATATAAGAACGACGGACTATGCCCCTGTGTATTCATTAAGACAACGAGTTCCGGATTTGCAATTGTAGCTGTATATGTCGATGACATGAACATAATTGGCACTCTTGATGAAATAAGAGAAACCGCAAGTTACCTAAAACCCGAATTTGAGATGAAGGACCTTGGGAAAACTCAATTTTGTCTAGGACTAGAGCTAGAACATCGAGTTTGTGGAGTATTAATCCACCAGTGTGCATATATCCAAAAGATGCTCAGGCGATTTAATATGGATAAAGCGCACCTTGCTAGCACTCCCATGGTTAGTCGAAGTTTGGATCCTAAAAAGGACCCATTTCGTCCAAAGGAAGATGACGAAGATGCATTAGGAGCTGAAATTCCTTACCTAAGTGCAATAGGCGCATTATTGTACTTAGCACAATGCACTCGACCAGATATAGCATTCTCAGTGAACTTATTGGCTAGATTTAGCTCCGCGCCAACGCAACGTCACTGGAACGGTATCAAAAATATTTTCCGATACCTGAAAGGAACTAGTGATTTGGGACTATTCTTTCCCTATAAAGAGACAAAAGAAAATACCAAAGACAAAATAATCACCCCCCTTAAGAAAATTCCAAATGATGTCTCGGTAGGTTTTGCTGATGCTGGGTATCTCTCTGACCCTCACAAAGGCCGCTCTCAAACCGGATACGTTTTCACAATTGGTAACACGGCAATATCTTGGAGATCAACTAAACAAACCCTTGTGGCTACCTCCTCGAATGACTCCGAGATTATTGCTCTACACGAGGCGGTTCGTGAATGTATATGGTTAAGAGCTATCATTACACATATTCGAGGAACTAGTGGCTTAAAATCTACCACTGACGAGCCTACTTGCATTTATGAGGATAATGCAACTTGTATCGAACAAATGAAGTTAGGATATATCAAGGGTGATAACACAAAACACATATCTCCCAAATTCTTCTACAATCAGCAACAACAGGCCTTGCTCAAAATTCAAGTGAATCAAATAAGCTCAGAAGAAAATGTAGCAGACTTGTTTACTAAGTCATTACCCAAGGCCACTTCTGAAAAACAGTTAAAGAGCATAGGAATGCGAAAGCTTTCTGAGCTCCCCTGATAAATGTAAATATTAGGGGGAGGTGTAGACATGAGGGGGAGTCTTTCACCTACCCACCATTACGTTATACTCTTTTCATTAAACCAAGGTTTATTTTTCCCACTGGGTTTTGTTACTTGGTAAGGTTTTTAATGAGATAACGATACTTATTGATCAAGGTAAGGATCAAATGAAGAAAGACTCGAAGGACAAAGTCTAACACAACTTTCATATTGTTACATCTTTTCTTTACAAACAAGGCATCATGACGAATATCATTCTATCTACAACTCAGCACAAGGGAAGTGTTAAAGGAAATTACATGTAGTGTGCTATTATTATAGATAAAATATATATGTGAAAATGATCTGTACATTATTAATGGGCCCTGAGACACATGTATTGTAACCCTTGCCTATCCCTATTTAATGGGAGCTTTCTATGCAGTGATAATACACCAATTCCCTTCAACAAAAGTGACATTTTTTAGAAATTCATGGTGACGCCATATATATGAAAGCTTACACATCAGACCGAAATTTTCAATGTATTGTTAAGGGGCCCAATGAGAGTAAGTGTGGCCCACTTCACATAACATGCCAAGTCCAAAGAGTCATCAGACTTCCATCATGTACCCCCACTAAATAAAGCATTCCCATGGTACCTGTTCCCTTCCCTTCTCCACCTCTCACCCTTTTCAGCTTAGCACCTCCCAACTTGTTGTGTATGTAAAGAATTAAATATCACTTTCGCACTGCTTAAATTTGTTATTGGCAGCCCAGATTTCAGAATCAGATTCAATCCAAAGACAGATAGATAAGATGATGCTTCCATTTCTAAAGATCAAGATTGCCATTTTACCACCACAACAAATAATAAGTTATAAGTTGTGAGTTCTAAATCAAGTTTCTCTGTAGTTAGCCCTAATTAGTAATTAGAGGAAGTTAGTTTTCTTGGTAAAATGAAACAGTGTAAATAATAACAATCACTTTCTGTGTTGCGCAATAATTCATGAAAAAAAGATTTGTTTTTTTAACCGTGAAATCCAAAATTTGAAGCTCTCAGACCAACAGAACTTTCAACCTTGTCAAAGAGAGATGGTTAGGGAAGGCACTTAAGGGATAGGTGGAATTGTTTCTTTTTCTTCATGGATATATATCTCTTTTAAATAAAATATATAGAAAAAAGTAAAATAAAAATGAATTGTGGCTGCAACTTGCCCCAGCATTTCTCTTCTTGGTAACCCCACTATGTTAACCAACCACCCCAACTCTCTCCTCCAGGTTTGTGCTAGGAATAATTTTAAATAATCGAAATTCACACAATAATTGGCAGAATAAAATTAAGCTTTTATATATATAATTGAAAAATAAAAAAATTATAATATTATTTTAATATTCACAAATATCTGAGGGTTATTCGTATTTAAAGCAGCAAATTCATATATTATTTTAATATTCACAAATATCTGAGGGTTATTCGTATTTAAAGCAGCAAATTCATATATTTTGATTATTATTTTACATAAACTACAACAGTAGTGTGAATAATATTTGGGTTGTAAAATTTTCCAATGATATCTTTATAGCTTATTTATTTATGGCCTGTAGTTATTGAAGTAATGCTGAAAGCAACCAACACTCAGGGGTTTGGAGAGGATAAGATTCACTCATTTCCTTCATGAGAGAGAGTATACAATTTGTGGTCAAGAAAAGCACAATACTGGGTATGGTGGGTGCTCTGTAGGTGGTGGGAAGGAAGGAGTGTTTCTGGACACAGGGTTCCTAGAATATTGGAGAGATGACAAGTGTAGTATGGTTTAGGAGGGATCTGAGAGTGGAAGACAACCCTGCTTTGGCTGCTGGGGTTAGGGCAGGGGCAGTTGTGGCAGTCTTCATATGGGCTCCTGAAGAAGAAGGGCACTATTTTCCTGGAAGGGTATCAAGATGGTGGCTTAAGCAAAGCCTGGCTGATCTTGACTATTCTCTGAGGAGCCTTGGGACTACCCTTATCACTAAGAGATCCGCAGATAGTGCTTCTTCTCTCCTTGAAGTTATCAAATCCACTGGTGCCACTCAACTATTCTTCAACCACTTATATGGTTAGTTGCTGCTGTGAAACATCTTTTTTTAAACCTAACCCTTTTAAGCTTAAGTTATCAAACCTATTGTTACTTAAAAGTCTGGTCTAGCTCAACCCTAACTGAGCTCTCAAGAAAAGGGGCAACCTTTGTTTAAATACTTAGTTGTTAACACTTACACAACTTTCCAATTAACTTTGTCATTCATATGCTCAAGTTTTTGGTAAGGTGTACATATTATTCATGATATTATCTTGTTCAATAAAGATTCTATGATTAATTGGAGTTTAAATATTTTCTTTTAGTTGTTATTTAATTAATAATTAATCTCTGAGTAAAAGATGGGGTTATCAGTAGTTTCTAGCTACAGATTTGTTGTATGTCAAAGTTTTCTTTTATCTTATTTATCTTAAGAACACACACACAAAATATAGTATCATATGTTTTGTAAAGGGATATGTAAGTTGCTGTTTAACACATTTTTCTGGTTAAGAGTATCAAATTAATATACTCTGTATTAAAGAGAGAGATATGAGTAGATTGGATTAATATCTTTTAGAGTTGTCTGACACACTTGCATTATTACCCGTTTGGGCGATGTCAGACCAATTATAAATTTAAGAATTTATCAATTTTTATTAATGAGAAAATAATCAAGCTAATTCTTTTTGCTTTCTTTATTGTAGATCCTTTGTCACTTGTTAGGGATCACCGCACGAAGGAAATTTTAACTAGCCAAGGGATAACCGTGCGCTCCTTCAACGCCGACTTGCTTTATGAACCGTGGGAAGTTCTTGATAGTGAAGGACAGCCTTTCACAACCTTCACAGGTTTTTGGGACAGATGCCTGAGCATGCCTTATGATCCAGAGGCTCCACTTCTTCCTCCTAAAAGGATCATTTCTGGTTTGTTTTCTTCATCTTTCTGTATTCATCTATGGCTCTTTTAGATGTTGAGATCTCTTATGTCAATTGGTCATTTGCTATTATATCCAGGGAAACCTGTAGGTGTGAAAGGTAAAGCAAAACAAAGTGTAAGGGTATGTTTGGATCCCCAATATGCTAGGGAAAGAAAAATCTGCTAGAAGTATTTTATTGTGTTTTCACCTCATAAAAAATGAATTACTCTGTATGATTAATGTTTTTAAACTCTTTATGCGTTTAGTTTTTTAGTCTTTATATAGCAGGAAAAAAATTAGAAAATGAGTTTGGACAATCCTCAAATGTAAATTCCTGTGTTTTGACCAATACTCCCCCCAGCCTCCCCATGCCCTTCTACTCTTCACAATTTCTCTTACACTTTCATATTATTTACCTTCCAAAGAATTTTCCATGTTCCAAACAGACCCTAAGTAAGAATGGAATCTAGAGCTTTCATTGGAGTGAATTGCATTGGAAAGTTATAAAAGTTTCGGCCTACCCTGCTCCGCCCAGCCTAGGCTCTTGACTCTCTTTGTTCTCGTATGTTTTTCTTGTGTATGCCCTACATAATTCCACTTAGGCCCTGTGCAATCCTAATTAACCCTGACCAGATGTTAGACGCCAGTTTGCTGCCTAGCAGACTTCTAGTACTTCTTTGTTCTAACGATATTTATTGCAAATTATAAACATATTACCAAACTTTCTTTTGTCTTCATGAAAGCAGACACCTGTTTTTAGATTTTCAAAATAATCTTACTGGAAATACGAACAAAACATAGGTCACATGCACAAATTGGAGTGTCACAGTTTTGTGCTAAAATTAGGGGTGATTCGGTCCTGAAAGAGAATAAAAGTAGTTGATAATTTCTCTTAAGAATAAAAGGATCATATTTTCAAGGAAAATCAGTGGTAACATAATTTGAAGAAATGCGTTATGTTCTAGTCCTATTTATGGAATTCGAGTGATTTCTGTATGTTGTAGGTGATATCTCCAAATGCCCTTCAGTAAACTTGGTGTTTGAAGATGAATCAGAGAGAGGAAGCAACGCTCTTCTAGCCCGAGGATGGTCGCCTGGGTGGAGGAATGCAGATAAGGCATTAACAACTTTCATAAACGGGCCGCTGATCGAGTACTCAAAGAACCGCTGGAAAGCTGACCGCGCAACAACCTCTTTGCTCTCCCCACACTTGCACTTTGGGGAAGTCAGTGTCCGAAAAGTATTCCATCTTGTTCGCATGAAGCAAGTTCTTTGGGCCAATGAAGGGAACAAAGCGGGTGAAGAGAGTGTTAATCTATTCCTTGAGTCTATCGGGTTGAGGGAGTATTCAAGATATATAAGCTTTAACCATCCATACAGCCACGAAAGGCCGCTTCTCGGTCATCTAAGGCACTTCCCTTGGGTAATTAATGAGGGACACTTTAAGGCGTGGAGGCAAGGGAGGACGGGTTACCCGTTGGTGGATGCGGGTATGAGGGAACTGTGGGCCACCGGATGGTTACATGATCGGATACGGGTTGTGGTTTCGAGTTTCTTTGTGAAGGTTTTGCAGCTTCCATGGAGATGGGGAATGAAGTACTTTTGGGATACTCTGTTAGATGCAGACCTTGAGAGTGATGCTCTTGGTTGGCAATATATCTCTGGTACCCTTCCCGATGGGCGCGAATTGGATCGCATTGATAATCCACAGGTATGGTTTGTTTGGCACGCTATTAGCTTTGTCTAAAGGAAATATTTTTTAAAAAGACTCATTTGGTTAGAGAACATATTTGATTAGATCGAGTTAATTTGAGAGTAGCTTTTCAACTAAGCTGATTCTTGTTTATGGTCATTTTAACTGTGTTTTTTTTATTTAGTTTTTTTTTTTAATTCAAGGCCTTTTATGCCATTGTGTATTTGCAAGCTAGTTTTGATCTGACTTTTACCACACTATATATGATCAGCTAGTTTGCTTTAGCTTTACATCTGTAAGTTGTAAACCATGGAATGTAAGTTAATGTGTGTTTAGTAGGGCTTTTTGGAGCTTATAGCTTATTATTGCTACTATTTTATTGTTATTGTTATTATTTTAAGATCCAAATAAGTTATCAGCTCTTTGTAATTAATAGAGATAAGTCTTGAAAGTTATTTTCAAAAGCCCTCTCCTATACCTTTTCGGCGGTGAGTTCATAACTTTTTTTCCGCACTCATAATCTTGTTGTTTTACTAAACTAACACCTTTTATCCATCTATAGTCCCTCTAAACATTAATATCCATTTATGTCTTTGTCATAAATTTGCTACTCAACAACTAATTTTACAAACGCCTCTATCATCAATTAAAAAAAATCGTATTTCAGCTCCAAGCTACTAACTTTTCATCATTTCGCTATTTTGTAGCTTTTCAGCTAGTATTTTAGCTCTGCATTCCAAGAGTCTAATTAGCTTAGCAGTTGGTTTACCCAACATAAGCATTATGTCATTCTCATTTTGTATCTACTTTTTCACTTTTAGTGCAAGACTTTGGTTTTGGCCACTTTTTTGGTACTTTTCGGCTACTTACGCGGTGAAAATCAAAAGTGAAATTATATGGAAAGTTGGAAACTGGTTTGATAAGTAGTCAAAAGTTACAACAAACATATAATTGTGCACCAAACGTGGTAAAATGAAATTTGGAGGGTAAAAGCTGGAATCAACTTTTAATTGTGGGAGTGGAACCAAATTTGAAAATTTCTAGTTTTTGTTTATATCTTTGTCTTATGCAGCTGGAGAAGTGAGTAACAAGAAATTGTTATTGTATGTCATTGAATTAAGGATGCATTTCTGCAACACTTGTTTTCTTTCCCTTTCTTCCATGAGGAATACAATTACACCCAGTTAGTATATACATATACACACACAGATGCATATCTGAATGTACATAAATGATCCTTTGGCAGTTTGAAGGTTACAAGTTTGATCCGAATGGGGAGTATGTACGCCGCTGGCTACCGGAACTTGCTCGGCTTCCCACCGAATGGATACACCACCCGTGGGACGCCCCGGAGTCCGTTCTCCAAGCGGCAGGGATTGAACTCGGATCAAACTACCCTCTCCCGCTCGTCTGGATCGATGCAGCCAAAGTCAGGCTACAAGAGGCCCTCGTCACGATGTGGCAGCACGAAGCCGCCTCTAGGGCTGCTGTCGAGAACGGTGTCGAGGAAGGACACGGCGACTCCAGTGAATATATCCCGGTTGCCTTCCCCGAGGACATCATGCAAACAACCGATCCGAATGTTGAGTCCCCGCTCAGAAACAACAACCAAACAGCGACTACTATAACCCGCGGCGGCGGTTATCAGGACCAGATGGTTCCCAGCATTACTTCTTCTCTTTCTCGGGGTAGTTCGATGTATCTCAGGAATCCAAGCGAGGATAACCGAGCGGAAGTTCCAAGAAATGATAATCTGACTGAGGAAGAGCCAAGGAGGAGGAACGGGGCGGGCCAAACAGGTCCCCCTCAACCACCAATTAATGCCCGTCCTAGGAGGAATTCTGAAGACTCCTCCACGGCTGATTCTTCCAACAGCAGCCGTGGCGTGGTTCCTGTGTGGTCCCCGCCGAGTAGTAATTACTCGGCAAGCGATGATAATGTCACCACCAGTTCATCTTATTTGCAAAGGCCACACCGTCAGCTAATGAACTGGAATCGGCAACGGCTGTCTCAGACAGGGTAATTAACTAATCATCATCCAATTTATGTGAAGGAGATTAAATCTAAAACCAGAGGAGTAAATTATCATGATATCATGAAATCCCATCAAATGCTGATATGTAATAATTTCATTTCTTTGAAAGCATGCAGCAGCTTTATTCTATACAATGCATAGAAACTAATATTGGTTAATAATTGTCTGTACCCCCCCCCCCCCCCCCAGAAATAGTAGCTAGCTGGTTGGATTCAATCTCTTAGTCCTGTTTTACTCGGTTGAGTGTCTTTGATCCAAATATGAACTCTACCACTTGCAGTTTCCCCTGAATGTTTGGTAATCTCTAGTTTCTTCAACTTGATGATAGCAGGTGATGGTTTACAAGATATGATGATCAAGATTTGAGGTTAACAAGATCTAGGTACTGTAATTCTAATTAAGCCGATCAACGATCAATGCATGTATGTGTGTGTATTAGCTGATGATTAGAATGGACGAGGCGATTCTTTTTCTTTTACTCGTTCCTTTTGTTGTATCATATGGTAGAAATGATGTTCTACAACTGAACAGTATACACATTTTGTAAGGGCGAATAATCTTCACATTGGCTGCAAGTTATGTCATAACCCTGCTTTGTGCCTCTCTTCATTCTTGTCTTGATTGCTGCATATGTTTTGTTTAACCCATGTCCACAAATACTTCTATTGCGTGATTTGTATGTAATTAGTCAAAAATTGTATGGACACAGAGCATTGATGCTTTTTGAACCGTTGGATTGCATCCATCAAGAGTATCTCACAGGAAAGTTTAACTGAATTACTTTTACAGATCTAAAATTGGTCCAAAAGTATTACTCCGTATTCAAGACTGATAGTGTGCAGCGCTGAACAGTGAACACTAGGCTTGAAGGGTGTTTTTAATCGGACTATTTCAATCTCAAATTAGACCAGACCAAACTTAAACAGATCAAAAAAGATTTTAACAGATCAAATCATATTTTTTGCAGCTATAAAATACATACACCAAGGAATTACCAGACCATGCTTCTTCGGGACTTTGGCTATAAAATACGCAAAGATCATACATTCGTCAAGTTAGCTCAAACTAGACCATACTTAAATAGTCTAGACTCATTAAACCAAATTAGACCACAAAATTTCAGTTCAAGTCAAAACAAAAATGACCGTCTTCACTGAGTTGAGGCCCTAATTACAAGAGCTCCCTAAAATTATACAGACAAAACATTTTCACCAATCTCACTAGCTAATGATTATTAATGGTTCAAGTCCTATGTTGCACCGATACTTCACCTCGATGCCGTATCTGCGTATCCGATACGTATCCGTATCCAATACTCACCGATACGCGTCTTGTACGTATTGGGTCCGTATCCGTAATTTAATAAAAGTATCGGGCTTAATTTTTAAAAAAATCGATACTTCCGATACCCGTATCGGTGAACCGATACGCGTATCCGAACCTATAACCCCTCATTTGATACACGACATGACGAAAATTCATTAGCTGCCTAAGCGACCACAACATGTGGAACATTGATAAAGATGGTTTCGGGAGTATGAAAAATAACGGAATACTATAATTTGTCATTTCATTGCTTGATGAGCTTTAATTGAAACAAGACTTAGATGTAAATGCAAATAGAGAACAAAAAAATATTATTTGAATTTAAATCAAAATATCAATACTTTAGTTTTTTTAGACTAATCTTTGAAACTTTATTATAATAGTTAATTTTTTGTACTATTATTATTTTATTTATGAACCCCTGAATTATATATATTTGCAAATTATACCCTATATTTTTATTATTTATAAATATACCCCCGTACCCGTATCCTATAATTTTTTAAAGTGCCGTATCGCCGTACCCGTATCCGCGTATCCGAGTATCGGCGTATCCGTATCCGTGCAACATAGGGTTCAACCACTTCAATGTTTTTTTTTTACTCCATGGGGTCTGGGAGAGGGGGCTGGGGGACCTGAAGAAATCAGGGCTGAAACTCATTCCATTGAGTTTCGAACTCTTATGTGTCTAGCGGATTTCGAATTCGAGATCTCTCACTAGGCACGGTAACCTCACAACCAGCTGGGCTGGAATGTTTGGTTACCACTTCAATGTTATCATGTAGCTTTTATATATTTTGAAATTAACTTTTTCTCTTTTTTTCAATAGATAATATTATCTACTGTATTTGATTATAATCTAAATATGATGCCATTTCTAAACAATGAGCACATGATCCAAAATCAATAATACCTCGTACAATACTATCTACTTTTAAGTTTCAAGAAAGATTTGATTATTTTAGGAGAAAATAAATATGTTTTTTGAATAAAGAACAATTAATAATCAATTATAATAACTATAGTACATTGTAAACACCCTAAAAGAAACAGATCACTTTCTTATTAACTAATTAAAAAAATATAACAAATTCTCTAATAAATGTAGCATTGTGTAGGAATAACTGAATAATATAAAAATATTAAATAATCATTAAGGCTTTTTCATTTATCCCGTGATCATACATTAGAAACCTTTATGTGATAAATGGTGAGTAATACACTTCATTATACACATAGAAGTGTATAAATGGTGAGTAAGAGTTCTTCCACCCCCATTTAAAAAAAAAATCTTCCACCCTTTACAACAAACGTAGAGAATCTGAGAAATAATACACTTATTTGTCCTCTAAAATAATTTGTCCTCTGAAAGCATCTCTAATACACTTTATTATACACTGATAGATATTAGTATTTATTTCATTCGTTAAAATGTTGCCAAATTTATTTGGTACTTGGATTAAAAATAAAAAACGTGTTATTTATGTTTGAGAATTTTACCTGAAATAGAACTAAAAATGTTTTAAAATTCCAAAATAGGATTGTCATGTTTTTATCCCAAAATATGACTAATTACTGTCATGTTTTGGCAGTACCAGACTTCAAACATTGAAGTATTTTCTAAACTTGGCAGTAATTAATCCTATTTTGGGAATAAAAAACATGACAGTCCTATTTTGGAATTTTAAAACTGATTTAGTCTTATTTTGGGAACATTCCCTTTATGTTTATGTAGAGCAAATAGATTAGTACTACGTATAATACTAGTTGTAAATCAGTTACTTCAAAGGGAAAATTCAAATTTTATGGGAAGCTAAATAAAAAGTTAAAAAAAGTGGAATGGTTCAAAGGTAGAAATAACTTGAGTTTTCTTCAAAAGCAATACAAAAATAAAATTCATTGACTAAAGTTACTATTAGTTTTGTGTCATGGTCACTTAAGTGCAAAAAATGAATATAAATTGCTATGATTAAATATAATGCACTTCAAATGTCACATTTTTTGAACACTTTTTAATTTCGTTATAATTTTGTAATGATTTCATTATTTAGATAAGAAGAAAAATATTACTTCAACCAGTTGGGCTTTGATCAACCATGGGTAAAGGGCTGTTGACAAAAGAACTCGGCCCACAGCGGCCTAAGTCCTAACAGACACCTCTATAAATATGCTATTTAGGGTTCCCGTCCTCCAATTAGTCATTCAAAACTATGCACCTGTTGTGGTCTACACTGTAGAAATTCACTACATTTGGATTTTAATTCCAATTTTTTTTATCTGTTTATGTCGAATATTTGCCTCTTCTTTCATCTTCAAGTGTAGAGATCTGAGGATCGATTTCTTGATGGCTTTGTTCTGGGGGCATAAACTAATTTGAGCAATTTGAGGACCTTCTGTAAAACCAGAACTTACACTTTATGTATTTTGGTTTTCCTTGCTTGCTCACAAATCACATTCCTTGTTTCACTTTTTATTCTCGAGAACAAATTAAAAATTAATGCTTGATTGCGTTTTGTAAGAAAATATTAATGGAAATCAAATAAAAGCCTAAATGGTTGACTTTTTGTAAATCCTTTTCAACTGAGACTTCATAGAATCTTGTGCTGGCTTTCATAAATAGTTTTATGCTTTTCAAATTTCTTTCACCGGTTTTGTTGGCGACACAAATTTCATACGTGTGCTCTGCTTAATTTTTTAACAGAATCTTCTTTCGATTTTGTTTAAAATACAATTACATTGGCGGTCTTTTCTCTCTCTTTCATCTTGTAGGTTTTAGTTGCCTTTAAGAGGTAAAGGAAATAAATTGATCGTGCGGTGCATCTGATTTGCCCTTGATAACAAGACACTGGATGACATTAGGAAAGTGATTTGTGTGGGGAAGAATTGATATAAAGTAAAAAATAAAGCAAAAATTATTTAAAAAACAAGTTTTGCCAAATTTAGTGTTAGTAAAAAATAAAACAAAAATTATTAAAAAACAAGTTTTACCAAATTTAGTATTACTTCCGCTTATCTAATATTTGGATTAGAGTTATATAAATGTTTTTGAATACTGTATAGGACAATAATAAAAGGATATTTAAAAATGGAAAATGGACAATTATAGGGTGATGGAGAGAAAGTATGAGATAATTTTAGTGAAATGGATTCAAAAGCAAAGATGAAACAATTTTAATGAAATGAGCAATAATTTGTTGCTAAATTAATAAAACCTATGTGACCATTCAAAAAAGACATTTGATACATTGTAGCCAAACTTCAAATATTGCAAACAGGACATTTGATAATGCAAACTTTCAAACATTGCACCAAGAAATTAATAAGTTGTAACTAAACTTTCTCTCAAATAATTGAACACTTGGTCACTTGCAAATCTATGAGCTTGTTTGGTAGCATGAAAATAGGTTGATTTAGTTGATTTTGCTGAAATTTATGAAGTTTTTGCTGAAGTTGTTGTATTGTTTTATTCTATTTAAGAAAAAAAATTGTTTTTTTTAAGAGGGCTTATATTGATGAAATAGCAATCATATAGGATTTGAAATAACAAAAAGATCACATGTAACAATCCGTCCTTGGACCAGACCTCTCATCATCCAATCCAAGTGCAAAAGTCTTACAATATAAAATAATAATAAAAACAAAACGCAATTGTCTTAACGTGGAAAATTAAATGCAAAAAAAAAAAAGTAAACACCAAAGCTAGTCCTCTTGAGTAGTCCTGACCCGCCGCCTCTCCATTTTTGGATCATCCAGTGACATGTCCTTACCAGTTGCAACTTCTTTTGACTGGTCTTCCCAAATCCTCCTGTGTTTCGCCTCCTCTGGAACCTCCTCTGTGTCACCCATCTCGTCCTTCTTGGACACGCTCTTTCATGTTTCTGCTGAGAACTCATGTCTATTGTGTGCCCCTATGCCTTCACTCTCTAAATTCATCTTCTGTTGAAACCTGGCACCCCCGAGCTTGAAGAATTCTCCACTAACCATTTATTGGTCCCTGTAGGACTGTCTTCCCCCTCCACCAGCCTGGAGCTCAACCCCAAACATTTTCTCCAACACAATACCATCCTCATACTTCAAGGGACAGAATTTATCAGAATGCTCAATCACTCCACACAAGAAACAGAAATTAGGTAGTTTTTCATATTTAAAATCTGCTCAATGTCCAATTCATTCTTTTTTCAAACTAGTTCCTTTCTTCATAGATTTTCTTATATCCATGCACACCCTAGTTCCCGTGTAAGATTTCCATTTTTCCTCAAACTGGTTCATATCAAAACTAATAAATGTGTCAATATAGTTTTCAATTCTCCTACCAAAACCCAGATTCATAAATTTAAAAGGTACATTGTGGACCTGTACCCAGAAGTCAGTCTCATACAAAATCATCTTTTCACGTATATCATCTGGTTGAACTGCTTTTAAAAGTAGTAAATCTCTCTCAAACAACCAAGGATCATCCGCAAGCACACGATTCATACCCACAATATGATATAAAGTGAAAAGGTACCTTTTATCTCTTTGATGGAAATCTCTTTCCCCGGGCGCCAGATTGAAGCCAAAAGCTCCTTAAATACCTGAAATTTGATCTTCCGGTCCATAAGCACAACTCCGACCACCGGAAACTCCATTCTTTCGTCGGCTGCATCAATCTCCCCGGCTTCCTCCTCATCGAAATTGAGTTCGTTGTCTTCCTCACCAATAGCCACATTCTTATAACTATTGACGATATCATCCATCAGAAACAACCCCTTCGAACTCGTTCCTTCTCCTCTGTTTGTATTGGTCGAGACCAAAAACATCCGCCGACTACTCAACGGAACCTCGACGGAAAACGATCGCAGAAGCTAGCGAGAAACCAAACGCCGCTCTTCGATCGAAATCGAAAACGGAGAAGCACCTCTAGCGGCGGCTAACCCTAGAGAGTTTTTAAGAAAAAAATATTTTTAAAATATATTTTATTAATAACATAAAGAAAAAAATATATGTAAAAATAGCTAAAATGGTAATAACAGTAACTTCAGCCAATACAACCAGAAAAGTAACTCTAACTTTACTTTTTCTTTTTATTACACAGTTCAACGTGCAAAAACCAAATTTACGTGTTTGGTTAAAAAGTTGACTGATAAGCCGAAAAAACGGTGTTGTCACAACGGCCTCTACATATGAATACATCAGCCCAACTGCAGAAACACTCATTTCAACTACTTTGCTTATTCTACACCATATTTTGTTGCTAAATTGCTCGCTAATTTACATGATTACACACAATTACAATTGTCCTTTATAATTGGTGTTAGATTAAGAACTCGTTTGGTGATTCTGTTTTTTGACTTATCAGGTTTATCAGTCAATTTTTCAGTAAACACGAGGTTTTTGATTTCGTGCATTCAATTCTTTAATAATAAGAAAATGTAATCTTGGATTTGCTTTTCAGGCTATGTTGGTTGAAATTATTGTAAAAGATAATTTTAGCTGCTTTTTGATATAATATTTATTCTATTTTATTAATAAACTGTATTTTTAAAATAATTATTGGATAGGCAAGAACGTTAATCAAAATTTCTATAGGTGAGTCTCTCTCTCTCGGCGGCCTTCTCCCCTAGGGTTATGGGTTGTTTCTCTCCGCTTTCGTCTTCGACGAAGTGCGGCTTTCTTGTGCGGTTTTCGTTGGCCTTTCTTGAGACTCTTCTTCTTCGACACACCGCAACGCGTATATGGCGGCCTAAGGTTGTGTACCCCTAGCTGCAGGTGGAGAGTTTCGAGTGTGTTGTTCATGATTGAGATCATAAGGTCATGGACGAAGCGTGAAGCAGGGGCGGGAACAGATCTGGACTGGAGGCAATGAGCGGAAGATGTTACAATACTCTTGAACCATCCCCTTCCTGAACTGCCACTATGAAGTGAAAGAGAGTTTAGAGTTTAGAATCAGTATTTTAATTTTATTGTTTGATTGCTATTTATTTTTCATGATCAGACTGTTTATTTTTCTGTTGGCTACTTTTATCGTTGTAAGACTCTTGTATTACGATCACTGTTCTAAAAATCGGCCTAGGCGGACCGATTAATCGGCCTAGGCGGCTCTAACTGTAGAGCCCTAGTCGGCCTAGTCGATCAAAAAATCGGTCTAGTCGGCCAAAAAATCGGCCTAGTCGGCCGCCTAGGCGCCCCTCAACCGCTCGCCTAGCGCCTAGCGAGTTTTAGAACAATGATTACGATTAGGTGATGGGAGGTCTGCTTTAACCGTCGTTGGCTCATTTATACTCATTATAGAATTGGCGAGTTATATTGCTTTTTTGGAGGTGATAAACTCTAAGTTTGGTTCGAGGGGTGACAGTTGCCCGTGATCCTTTTGTCGTTTTACCCCCAATCTGAATGTTGTGATTTGAATTTAAGCCATCTGTTTTGACGATAAAAAATATATTATTGGATAAATCACCGGAACTAGCCTAAGCAGATATTTCAGTCAGAATTTCATAATTTTCATCATAATGAGACTACAATTGATTTGAGTATTACTAAACGGTGGGTAGTGGCAACTGGATGAAACGGTGCGAGAGCTGTCATTGGACGGTGCCGATTGCGTTGGGTGTCACTGTGGCTGGTGGCGGTGTCACTGTGGCTGGCGACAATGACTGTTGATGACAGTGACATGGGCGATGATAGTGGCAGTGACATAGGCGGTGACAGCGGTGACATCCGACAACGACATGAGAAATAGGCAGTGACATGAATATTTGGCAGTCATTTCATATTCTTCCAGATATATAACTATTTTAGTCACATTTTTGTTCAAATGTAAATGTATGTACATTTTTTGAAATTAGCTTTAGTTTAGAAATACTAGTTTTAGTTCTACGAGAATTCCACAATTGATTCACGTCTTTGACTTTGATCATTTTTGGTATATGATTATCGTGTCTTCGCTCGAATATTGTCCTTCCGTCAATAATTCCGATGAATAAAATCAACGGAGAAGGACAACAAAAATTAAAGAAACATTAATCAAATATCAAATGAACAAAATAAAAAGGAATGAACTAAAAGTGAAAATGACATGAAACTTATGGTACCAAAAATGGAATTAATTTAGGAAGAATTGATAGTAATAATCCCAACTATTGAGGGTCCGCTCATAATAATCCCAACTATCGATTATTTCAGAATAATCATAACACGTAATCCCTATAAATAATCCCAAATTTTAATTTTTACGCCTAATTTCTATTTAAAATTCACTTGTTATAGGAGGTAATATATAGTCATGAACCATTATTAGCGGACAGTCCATATAGTTGTGATTATACAAAAATAATTAATAGTTGAGAATATTGTTCGGATCGATAATAATTGGAATTATTATTTTCATTTTTTTCATTAATTTGTGATTACTCCAAACTAGTCCAAAGTCATAAAATTGGGACACTTCCTTCTTTTACTGAATATCTAGCTAGATTTTGCAACCAAACTCTCACTCTATCTCCAGACAAAAGGAAAATGCAAGTAGCGCGCCCACCGTCGCCGTCCCTATTCTCCACCCCGTCTATTCCCGGATGTTCGTTCCTGCGTTTTAGCTGGACTAAACGGGTCGGTTTCAGCTTCTCAAACGTCTGTTGCGTAGCGCCATTGCTGCCGGCTGCTGTACGCGAGGAGGATGGCTTTTCCAAGTACTCCGGTTATCTTTTCGAGCTAAGTCCTGACGAGGAGGAAGCGCTTACAGAGTACAGCATCTCGAGAATTTATGAAGTCTATCAGAATAAGCCGTTCGTTGTGCTGCGACGACTCCTCCAGGTTGTATCCACTTTTGGAAAATGGTTCGCCCTCAGATACATCGACTCCTTAAGTGGACGAGTGGACGAGATGTTTAAGGTAGAGTGTTAGTCGATTTTCGAAATAAAATTAGACTAAATTGTTTGCATTAACTGTTGTGGTTCTTTGGGTATAATTCGTACTTCTGCATATGTCTCTATAAATGAACAACCATTCCGCAATTTAAGCATCTTCTTACCTCATGCAGGTTAGAGCTGAGGGACTGAGGAAGATACTAGTCCAGCTTGGTCCGGTAAATTTTCTGTCACTATTAGACTTTTAGGGGGGTGTTTGGATCTTTTTATTAGAACTGCTCCTAAACAGATACATGAGTGTTTGGGTAAAAATGCAGGGTACTTTTGGTGCTCAAAATTGCTCCCAGAAATTTAGAAGCTGGGGAGTACTATTCTGAATTTAATTTCCATAAAAACTATTAGTCTATTACTTTCAACATGAACAAAAATGTGGCTAAAATGGTAATAGAATTGGAAAGTAGGGAAGGTTACTATCAATTAATCAATTAATTATGTCCGTGTGAGTTTATTACTAGTATGTTACTTCTTATTACCAGTGTCATTGTTGCCTCAATCACTATCACCACTGCCGTGGAATATGTCACGGACTCACGGTTACCACTATTTATTTTTTTTAAACTGAAAACCTGAAAAATCTTGTGCAAAATTTTCCGGAGGCAGCTGTTGACAGTGGTTGCCAGAGACAGCAGTGAGACAGGGGCAGGGTGGGGGCAGGGGAGAGCAATTGGTAGGAAATAGAAGCAGTAAAAATGCACTACGTACATTAATTAAACAAAGGTTAGTCACATTTTTTGAAAAATAAAAACTAGTCATATTTTTGTTATCCAAAAGTGTAGAGGTAATTTTTTTTAAATCTTTTCTAGTATCTTACGATGTCTATGTAGGCATGTAGCCTGTATGTCTCAAGTATTAAAATTAAAAAAAGTTATTACAATTTCAGCATGTGTTATTTACTCTTTTACTCTGTATATGAGAAGTTCATTGACTATATAGGCAACCTAGGCTGGCTTACCTCCTTGTGATTCTTTACGGGCCAGATTCACAGCTGCAGTTTACCCAGTGTGCACCCTCGTGTAGCGCTTGCGGGCTTCCCTCGTCACCCGCAAAACGAAATTCACTTTCATTAATCAAAAAGTTAAATAGAAGAACCAGGGAGAACATCCAATATAAACTCAGAAAACAAACAAGTTAACAATGATAAACTCGCTTCTAGCTAACAAGTTACACTTTCTGCTATGTTTTACTGATTAAGTTTGATTCATGAAATATTCTCAATGTTATTTTGAACATTGATTCAATATATCTTATTAAAATATTGTATGAATAGTAATTGCCATCTTTCTTGATTATGTATTACAGGCATATGTTAAAATTGCACAGGCTATCTCATCTCGTCCTGTACGTAATGCTTCCTCTATCAATTTACTTGTCATGAATGAATCATTAGTAATACACAGTGCATTCCTATGTGTATCTTATTGAGTTATATCGGGTTAGTAATTAAAATGATATTTAGGTTCAGAAACAAATATTTGATTGCTGATGAAACTTAAGCATGCTGTATTGCTGCTTCAATTTTAACTTCTATATACTACCTCTGTCCCGAAAATAATTTCCCACTTTCCTTTTATGGATGTCCCAAAAAGAAGTTCCTATCTCTATAAAAGGAAACCACTTTTGACTAAAAAGTCACAATCATTGTTCTAAAACTCGCTAGGCGCTAGTCGGGCGGTTGAGGGGCGCCTAGCGCCTAGGCGGCCGACTAGCCCGATTTTTTGGCCGACTAGGCCGATTCGGCCTCTACGGTTAGGGCCGCCTAGGCCGCCTAGGCTGATTAATCGGTTCGCCTAGGCCGATTTTTAGAACAATTACCCTTACTTTTTACCTACTTTTTTGCTTGATTTGACATAAAGCAAGGATATACATGGAAAGTCAAAACAAGGCTCTATCTTAGATAAATGTGTGATTGTGTGTAGCTCAAACCAGGAACTTCATTTCGGGACGGAGGGAGTATCAAACCAGGATATACATGGAAAGTCAAAACCTTAATTGATTGTTTCTTCACAAGTTCTCGTCGAAAACATATCTGAGGAAGGTGGTGATATCATACTTATTACAGTGATGGTAATCAGTAAAGGGAACTCTTTTAACAGCATTAAATATTGAAAGTATTGCAGTAGTTTTCCCTGTTTAACTTTTCCTGTTTAACAACCAAACCTTGTTGTTAGTTTACCTTTACAATCATACTGTTTGCTCTACCTCACAAATTTAGCCCCTTTGAGATAGTCATGTTAAGAATGGCTTACATGTACATAATTAACAGCCTAATTACCTAATAGGATTTGATTCCTCCTTCATATTTGGATGAACTCTCACTGTTGCAAGACCAAATTACTCAATTTCCCAATGAAGTTGCTTTTAGTAAAATAGAGCAAGAACTTGGGTTTCCATTAGATGTACTTTACTCTGAGGTTTCACCAGATCCTGTTGCAGCAGCATCACTTGGACAGGTGTTTTCTCTTTTATTAATTTATGCGCTCATTGAGATCCAGTTGTATTTAAAAGATTAATAGTTAGTCATTATCCTATCTCATAACAATTTTAATTTTTTCCCTTAGGTTTACCAAGCTAGGCTTCGATCTAGCAAGCAAGTAGTTGCTGTCAAAGTGCAAAGGCCAGGAGTTCAAGCTGCAATCTCCTTGGACATGTTAATTTTAAGGTTTCTAGCAGGCCTAGTAAGGAAAGCGGGGAAATTTAATACTGATCTTCAGGTATTGTTGTAAAAAATTATAAATCTCACTGGGCTTAAAGGCAGAAGAGTTGAAACAAAGAACTTATATTAGGTGATTGTTTGCTTAAGAGATGTAGTGGAGCTCTTTTCCATGGTAGCCTCTTGCCATTTTTTAATGCCACCATCCGTTTCCAATAAACTCACCTTTACCACTTCTATATATGTACTTCACATTTTTAAACTATAATGTGCAGGCTGTTGTTGATGAGTGGGCATCGAGCCTTTTTCAGGCATGTATTCATTTCTATCCATTTTGATGGCAGAATCTAGATACAAGCAAGGTTTAAAAAGTCGGGTTCAGGTATCGAGGCGGTTTGTTCCGGAGAGGCGAGGCGTAAGCCTCAAAGTATACCAATAGATTAAACATATAATAATTAAAACTAATAATAAACAACAAAAGAAATGGATAATTATAAGTCCAAAAAGTATCAAACACAAACACAAGTATAAACACAAGCCATTCATCATCAGATGGCAAATAATCAACCAAAATATTTTCCTCATCATTGGTTAGGGATCTTAACTTAAGGATTCCATCTTTCATCTTGTCAAACCTTGACCAGTTCTAGGAAAAGATGACAAACAGCTTAGTACAAGAAGAAAGAGGAGAGAAGGAGAAGAATAAGAGAAGTAGAGGAGATGAAGGAGAAGAGATGTAGAAGAAGAGGAGGAGCAGTAGAATGGACTGTTTGTAAGTTGTCTACTTCTTCGTGAAGGAGTATGAAAACTTTTGTGTGCAGAAATATGCAAACATTTTAACAATTACTGAATAATTTAAATGAAAAAAGACTTGTTAGGGGTTTAGTTTGGACAATGGATACATGCTTCATGTATGGGCCTTTTATTAAATACTACTTCAATTAATCCAGGGATTTCTTAAGTCACTGCCTATTTAAAATATAGAAACTAAGGAACCCACGCCTCAAAAAATGCCTCAAGGCGTACGCCTCAACTTTTGAGGCGTAAGCCTCTTGACATGCGAAATAAACCTAAGCCCTGATACCTTTTCTATACGCCTCAACTTGAGGCGCGCCCTGTAAGCGCCTTTTAAAACTATGTATTGAGGTTGAAAGTAAGTTCTATTTTCCTTGGTGCACATTATTAAGCCACTCACACCAGCCTCGGACTCCTCCTCCTATCAGGTGGATAAAAAGCTCTACTTTAATAGGCAATTAGTAAAGGGCAGTTCCACATTATTTTCCAAGTCTTAGTATGATATTAGATCCAATGAAACTCTAACGAGCAATTAAATTCTTTCAAGTCTCAACAACAAGCACACAGACCACAAGATTGATAAAGGGCAGCCCGGTGCACATTGGCGTCTCCACAAAGTGAGGGTCCGGGGAAGGGTCACACCACAAGGGTGTATAAGGGGAAAGCCTCCCTTGTAACTTTGACAAGAGGCTGCTCCAAAGAGTTGAGCCTCTGACCTCTCAGTCTCACGGCAACACCGTAGCCGGTGCACCAAGGCTCCCCTTCAGTTTAAAAATACAATATATCATATAAAGTCTTGAGCTACTCACATTAAGCCACCACACCATTCTCATGAAGAAATATAACAGTTCAAGCTTCAGTGGCAAAACATTGGTTCAATAAATTTTGATTTCAGATTTTTTTCCTTGGCTACCTTCGATTTCAAAACTTTCTTTTTTCATTAGCTACCTATATCCAACTAACACAGTTTCTGTTGCCTCTTGATTATTACGCTAACGTTTTAATGCATGGCAATTTTCCAAATTTTAGCAGAGTTTGTGTTTATCTCAATGGGAGGTGTGGCAATGATATTAAGGCCTTCATAGGTTTATTACTCTAGAAAAGATTCTCATATTTTAAATTTATACGCCTTAAATAGAGGATACCTTATTATGCAAATATTTGTTTGCTAAAGACCTAATTTACATATACTTACCTATCTTGATTCCCTTTCCCACACGTCAAGACGGAAACCAAACTATTCCCCATGATAAAAAAGGAACATTCTTCGTGCCTTTAGATTAAATACAGGAAATCTAATTGAATGCAGGAGATGGATTATAAGAGGGAAGCAAATAATGCAGTCAGATTCAGGTAAAAGACCACTGGATTTGTTTAAATTTGTATGCATTAGTTTCCAGACAGCTTGTTTTTTATAAGTATATATATAGCACACTTAGCCTCCATGCCATAAGCCGCAATCATGTTTACAGAAAACAACTCACTTTTTTCTCCCAGTTTAGTATGATTGGGCGACTAGGGTGAACTTTGTATTACCAGACCTGTCTTGCAGAAGAATGATCTATTGATTGACCTGAATCTATTGGTTGGTTATTGAGGATAAGCCCCTGGCATCCTGCATATGTATATCATCAATGTCCCTTGGTTCTAATTATCTCTTTATTTCTCACACCCTTCTAGCGTATAGTCTCTTTGGAGATAGATGTATGGCAGACTCCAAATTAAGTAACCATGGTTTACTTTCCCGCATTATCTGTGCAAGAGTGCAAGCTATCAGGGACCTAAGATATACAACTTACTATCCAGTTAAGATGTCTTTGATCCTGATAAACATATTCGATTATCAAGATTTATATGTATATTTTATTTTGTAATGCTTTTGAAATGAGATTTACACTACAATAAAGTTTTCGAGCCTTGCAAAGTATAACTTTTGTATTTTTAAGTTGATGTGGAAAGTACTGAAAACTACCTTTGTGATCTAGGACTAATAATACAGTGTAGCTTCAGTTGAAGGTTATAGGGAAATTGATATAGTGAAAAAGTTCAACATTCACTATATCAATTTCGTGTCTAGATTATCATTCTTGTTTGCCAATTCCTCAAGCATGTGCATTTTCTGAATAAAATATACCCCCATTTGTTATCATTGTTAGCTGTTGCTTATTATTTACTCAATGAGACAGTTATATGGTGACATTAAGGATGTTATGGTTCCAGAGATGTATTTGTCACAAACTACTCACAAAGTTCTCACCATGCAATGGGTAGAGGTACAATCACGTGTTTGTTGAACTGTTTTTGCCTAATCATTTATGATTGTATTCCATATTTTAAGAAATATTTAAATCATGATTTGCACAGTGCTTTCAGCTTAACTATACCATTTTGTGGATATTTAGTCGTAAGTGCAAATAAACATGCTTACAAAGAAAGAATCTTTCAGTGCAAGTAAGTTACCTATATTTTTAGGCTAAATTTTGGTTTTTAAAAACTACTTGGAATTATATGTATCAGTTGTTGGCTCATTGCCAAAAGATCCCTTGACACTGGAAGGCAACACGTCAGTCATTAGAAAAAATTACCAGCATCATAAAAAATGAAGCATTTTTTTAATCACTTTGAAATCCAGGGTTTAAAACTTCTTATATTCATATTTTACTTGATGTTCTTTTATTGCAGTACCATACTAATTTGAGATTTCCCCTATAAGTGTTACCCTTCAAAGCATTATGTGTCTGTATTTAGATTCACATGGACATTTGACACTTGACATTTTTTATCCACTGCTTTACTGCCAATGACTGCTCTTGTCTGTATAATGTTCAGAAATTAACACAAACTAACAAATTCTTTTTTTTTTTTGCAGGGGACAAAGCTGGCTGAAGTGAAGGATCTTTATTTGATTGAGGTTATATCTAACATTCATTTACCTCACTACTTTGTCAAGGCTTAGGCTGTGTTGGTGTAGTGTCTGTAACAGATGCCCACCGGCTGACTTTTTTATTTTGTAATCAGGTTGGTGTGTACTGCTCATTCAATCAACTTTTGGAAAATGGTTTTTATCATGCAGATCCGCATCCTGGAAACCTTCTTCGTACATATGACGGAAAGCTAGCTTACTTAGGTACATAAATTCTTCAATTAGTATTAAATGAATTGACATGTAGACACACAAGTGATTTAATGTGTCCTGGTTTAGTGTTGACTACATGACTATGGTTTCCTGGTTCATTTTGCAATGAGATCCACAATACTTCATTTATGGGGTTTGTAAGTGTGTTCATAAGCTGAATTCCTATTTTGAAATCTTCGATTTATTTTGTGGAAAGTGGCATGTAGAAATGAATGTGTTTACTACTAAATGAAGAGTAATTATTTTCAGTACTTTAAAACTATATTACTCCCTTGGCCCTATTTTAGCTCCTCGTGTGGTTTTGCACACTTTTCAAGGATGTGGAAAGTGTGTAGATGAGATTTATTTTGAACAGAGAGATACAATATCTGCCACCAAATCCTTTCCTTAAAAGGAAAGAGGAGATAATTTTGGATTGACTAAAACGGAAAGAACGAAGATGAAAATGGGACAGGGGGGTGTATTTTGAAATGTCATTAATGTATCATGTTAATCAATCTTCTGGCTTATTTTAAACCTCCAGACTTTGGAATGATGGGCGAATTTAAACAAGAACTTCGTGATAGCTTCATGGAAGCATGTCTCCATCTTGTAAATCGTGATTATGATGCACTGGCCAAGGACTTCGTCACTCTTGGGTACTGTGGTTACTTCTCTCTTTAATCACTGTAAATAATGATATTACTGTCTGTATCATGTTTCAGTGTTGATATTAATAGGCTTCTTCCCCCAACAGCTGACAAGGCTGCAGTTACAACGGCATTAACTGGTTTTTGCTTCTGCATCTGTATTTATTGCATCTATTTTCTCTCATTGAAGAACATAATCAATTACTCCCCTCTCTCAAGAAAAGAGCCATGTTTCAAGATCTTTTGTCCAAAAAAAAGGTCTGGTATTTTAAGTCAACTTTCATTTTAAAGTAAATTTTCCTAAAAAAGCCAAGTGGCAAGTGGGTTGTCATTTACTCGCAGCAATCTTGAAAATATGTTGTATGGGTATAATTGATCATTCTAAATTTGTAGAAGGGTGTAACTTGATTGAGTTGACTAAAAGTAAAAAGTTGTACCGTATGGGACGGGGGAGTAACAGTCCTACAAATAGTCGGATATATATTTCTTATGTACTAACCCACTATTTTCTATTAATTTAGGTGTTTTCCAAGATGTTGTTGCAAAAGGAGTCCAGAATATAAGCTTTGGGGATTTTCTTGCAGACTTAGGAATTAACATGTACGATTTGTTTCTGCTAAACCACTCCATTTTCAAGTAAAAAGTGAATATTTTTAGGGAAAATTCTCGAAATAGGAGTAAAAATGTTTGAGAATTCCAAAATAGGACTGGCATATTTTTATTCCCCAAATAGGAGTAATTACTTTCAAGGTTTAAAAAGGTGGGTTCGGGTATCGAGGCGGTTTGTTCTGGAGAGGCGAGGCGTAAGCCTCAAGGCGTATTGAGGCGTAAGCCTCAAAATATACCAATAGATGAAACATATAATAGTTAAAACTAATAATAAACAACTAAAGAAATGGATAATTATAAGTCCAAAAAGTATCAAACACAAACACAAGTATAAACACAGGCCATTCATCATCAGATGGCAAATAATCAACCAAAATATTTTCCTCATCATTGGTTAGGGATCTTAATTTAAGGATTCCACCTCTCATCTTGTCAAACCTTGACCAGTTCTAGGAAAAGATGACCAACATCTTAGTACAAGAAGAAAGAGGAGAGAAGGAGAAGAATAAGAGAATTAATCCAGGGATTTCTCAAGTCACAACCTATAAAAAAGACTTGTTAGGGGTTTAGTTTGGACAATGGATACATGTTTCATGTATGGGCCTTTTATTAAATACTACATTACTACTTAAATTAATCCAGGGATTTCTTAAGTCAAAACCTATTTAAATTATAGAAACTAAGGAACCCACGACTCAAAAAACACCTCAAGGCGTACGCCTCAACTTTTGAGGCGTAAGCCTCTTGACATGCGAAAAAAACCTAAGCCTTGATACCTTCTCTATACGCCTCAACTTGAGGCGCGCCTCAAGGCGCGCCCTGTAAGCGCCTTTCTAAAACATGATTGCTGTAGGAAATACGGTCATGTTAAAAGTTTGGTACTGCTAAGACATGGCAGTAATTACTCCTATTTTGGGAGTAAAAACATGATAATCCTATTTTGGAATATACAAACGTTTTTAGTCTTATTTAGGGTAATTTCCCATATTTTTATAAGTGGACATGTATATATGTACATTTTTCGATGCATAATCAAATGAACATTTCATACCTATATTCGAGTTAAATTGTTTAATTGAGCAGAAGTGTTATTACAAAAAATGAGCTTATATAACACATTCTATCACAGTTCAATGAATATTGTTTAAATTTTAAACAGGAAGTAAACTTTTCTTAAAGCTCTCCCACCCCCACCTATGTGACCAGATTTTTATTTCACTTCTGAAAAGTCATAATTTTCAATCCATCATTCAAATGTACGATGCATATTTCATCGATAAAAACTCTCATACTATTGCATTCTGTGTCGATGCTTCTATTTGCAGGTACAAATTCAAATTCCGGATACCTTCCTATTTTTCTTTAGTAATTCGGAGGTATACCTCTTATTTAACTTTTGAGCAAACTAATTCATACTCTTTTTGTTTACTTTGCTCCAGTAGGCTCTTACGTGAATAGTGTAGAAAAGTGAAAAAAAGTAGGTGAAAGAAGAACAACAGGAAAAGTAGAAAAAATGGAAAGATAAGAATATGTATCAAAAAGTAGAGTAATAAGGGTTGACAAGCATAGTAATATATCGCATTTGGTCACTGATTAAACTAACTCCACCGAATCACTAGGAAGCCAAAACTTAAAGCATGGTAATTATTTGATTGTAGTAAGAATTTCTGATCTCGTGAGTCTCCTTGAAAATTTGTGTTTGGCAAACTAAAAAGGGACGGAGGGAGTATGTCACATTTTGCGGATGCATTGTTGACCGTGTAAGCATTGTCGAGTAGTAATTTGGAAGCACTAAACATACCCCGCACCTGATTACACACATCACGCCAGCTCCGTGTAACCAAACCACACCTTTTACCGTTTCCTCGAGAGTTCTGAGTACCCTACCCTGTGCTTTTACAACTGCTCAATGTACCCATGACATGTACATCCCATCAACGGCAATGTGATTTGGCCTTGTTCTATGCTATGTTCCACATGCTCCATCTTTGCTATCGTGCTTCTAACATATGCTCAGATTCAGGTTATAACCAGCTGCACAAGACTCATAAAGCTACTACATTATAAACATTAACAGTTCGAAGGTTACAATATTCAACTATTGAATATTTAAACAGTGGAAAACCGTTTTATCACGCATGCAAAGCATGATGAAATTTATTATTTCATCTGTTATCAATCGTCTCCCATGCTTTTGCACAAGTGGAATTATCATTCCCAAGTTTTTTCTATTAGGCAGCTATTGGAACCAACACTTGACCAAATCCAAATTATCCCAAAATTTTGTCTTGCCACTACTCTTGAAATTTTCTCATCCATCGTCCTTCTTTGCAAAGTCACTCTTTGTCCATTTTTCAGAAACAAATAAAACTTGCAAATGACACATATTCTCCCAAACAGTCTCAAAAGTGTAAACAGCAGTAGCAAACCCGGTTACACATGATCAATGCGACTCTCCCATTTGTTAACTTCCACATCAGACTCAATATCCTCCGTAATTATAAATATAAAGTACGTAGTACTATTGATTTAGTTTCACCTGATGCGGCTTTGATCTTTGCCAACTTATCACCAAGATCCTGCAACATCAAGTTCATGCAAAGCTTGTCTTTATTGTCCTCGAGTGTTCCCCCAGTCTTTTGTACTTGTGTTGTATGCTCTGTCGCTCTTCATTTCCTCTCAGTTGCGCAGTTTTTCTCATCTCTTGTGCACCCTCCTTGGTATGGTGGCCCAATACAGTCTTCAGGAAGAGTGACATAGGTCCCTCAACCTACTGAACGTTGATTCATCATTCTCTCGTCTACTAGCCCTTTGAGAGAGCAAAAGGAGTCCACCACTTTGTATTGTATGAGTACCTAATACTTTCATCACATCCAGGGGGGCACCATAGTTGTAGTGCACCTATACAGTGGGATTATTGAGCTGGATGAGGAGGTTGGAGATCTTGAAATAGGGTGCAGTGTGTCCAATGGGCCGTGGCCTCTGAGTTTGACTTGTTTCTGTAACAGTTGTCGCCGTGTTGAGGTTGCTTGAATGTGTCTCTCAGATCTCAATGAAAGCACCAAATGATGGATGTAAGTCCACTAAACTATTAAAGTAGCTTAAAGCAAAAGAACTGTAATTATTTTTTTGTAATAACTTTTTTCTCTCCTAAGTCTCCCAAGATTACATTTCTTTTCTATGTGATAGAGGTATGCTGACTAGACTGAAGGGTAAATTTTATAGGACGGCAATTAGACCTGCATTGTTGTATGGCGTAGAGTGTTGGGCAGTGAAACAATGTCACATTCAAAAGATGAGTGTGGCAGAGATGCGCATGTTGTGTGGTCATACTAGGAAGGACCACGTGCGAAATGAGACAATCAGACAAAGGGTGGGAGTAGCACCTATTGAAGACAAGATGTGGGAGTCTCGCCTATGGTGGTTTGGTCATGTGTGTAGAAGACCGGGTGATGCACCTGTCAGACGTGTTGAGATGTGTGGAGAAGAGGCAGGGAAGAGAGGGAGAGGAAGACCCAAACAGACGTGGGTTAGGGGAGTCCGTAGTGATATGCTTCTTCTTGGGTTGGATGAGGGTATAGCTTTGGAGAGAGCAAAGTGGAGGGCGGGTATTCGTGTGGAGGAATGATCTCGTATTATGTTTTCCCCTCATCTTTCTTCTTCTTGTTTTTTATTCTATTATCCTTATATATATAAACATTACTTTTATCCTTTTTATTTTATCATTTTTAGGTATATTCATCTTGTTTTATATTATCTTTTTATAATAGCTTATTTTTTATCTTTATTTTCTTTCTTTTCCTTTTGGTGGTGATATCATGTATCGATTCATGTTAGCCGACCCCAATATCGTTTGAGACTAAGGCTTGGATGTTGTCGTTTTTGTTTGAGGATAGGATGTTTTCATACTACTTTCATAGTGTAGGTCACCAGATTACACTTCCATATTTTACAGAATGTGCTGTTGACTGCCTAAGGGGCGCCATATAGTAATTTAAAAGCACTACACATGTGAGCTCTGTGTAATTGAGCCACGCCTTGTACTGTATCCATGGGAGGTCTTCGTATCCCGCATACAAGCGTTTAATGGGTCCGTTGCAAGTATAGTTACGTATCCCACTTGTTGGTACCTGTTACACAAGGAACAGTCTAGAAAGGGGGGGGGGGGGTGAATAGACTGTTCTGGTTTTTAACTTTTTCAAGCTAAGTACCAGTTTTAAAAGAATAGCCTGTTCTGTTGGAAGAACAGAAGAACAGACTGGCAGCGGATGGTCTTCTGGTAGGGGTTCTGTCCGGATAGCCTCAGAACGCGCAAAGGCAGTAAGCCTTCTGTTAACTCTGAAAACTAGTTCTGCTGAACACAGAGTTCAAGTCTTGAAGAGTTAATCAGTTTAAAATAAAATCAAGTATTAAAAACAGTAAGTAAATGACACCAGGAGTTTTTATAGTGGTTCAAGGAACAACGTGTTCCTCTAATCCACTGTTCCACTAAGCTTGTAAAGAACAATTACAATGCCTTAGCCCCACCACTTAAGAAGCTCTCCACGTCTTCTTCAAGCCTAGATGTCACCCGAGATGCATTTTTTTGCTTCTTGATGACTGGTCCTTTCACTGAGTCTCCTTGGAAGTATCTCCACTTCGCTTACTCCAGTTACTTTGGACGCCCTTCTTAAAAAGAAGACTGTTTGTAAAACAGAGGTTTTCTCCAACTTGCTTCGTCACAAAAGATGTGTAGATGAAGTGTTTGAAGTGTTGAAGAACTGGAGGAACTCTGCTCTTGGTTGGATGAAAAGGATGTGAAGGTGTATCTTTTCCAACTTCAAGCTTTTCTTGTTGAGAGTGATGAATATGGAATCTCAAGAATGCTTGTTTGAATGTTTTCAGAGAGAGCAAAAAGTTATCCGGTTGTTCTTCGAATAATATCATATGTACTGGGGGTTGTCTTCCCGTTGGAGGAAGAAGACAACCGCATTAATTGCTCGTACTGTGGAGTTGACCGGCTGGACCCACAAGGTAGGCGGCTTGCTATTTTGAGATAATATTCTCCAGAAATCTCGGTCAATCATCAACTTTAATATCTCAATGAATGGAGATCTCTTGGTTGGGGATGAAAAGGATGTGAAGGTGTATCTTTTCCAACTTCAAGCTTTTTCTTGTTGAGAGTGATGAATATGGAATCTCAAGAATGCTTGTTTGAATGTTTTCAGAGAGAGCAAAAAGTTATCCGGTTGTTCTTGGAATAATATCATATATACTGGGGGTTGTCTTCCCGTTGGAGGAAGAAGACAACCGCATTAATTGCTCGTACTGTGGAGTTGACCGGCTGGACCCACAAGGTAGGCGGCTTGCTATTTTGAGATAATATTCTCCAGAAATCTCGGTCAATCATCAACTTTAATATCTCAATGAATGGATCTCACTAAATGAGCATTGAATGCTTGTACTGTAGCTATTCCGTTGAGAGGCTTCTAGCCGTTAAGGGAATCTCCCGTCAGTTTAACCGACTGAGGTAGCAAGCCTTGAATTTATCCAAGTGTGAGGCTTTCTGGTGAGCTTTCTCAGAGAGACAAGTCAAGTAGAGCTTCGAGCACTTCTGTTCAAAAGAAGCCAACAGAGGACCTGGGGGTCTTCTGTCCAGTCGACTATTCTAGAACTTACACTTAGAAAAATTCTAATACAGATTTTCTAATAAGGGGTACTCTAATATTCTAATTAAGCTAGCATCATCAAAATCTAAATACAATTATTCCTTACACCATTCACGGTAGCTTGTTTTGGACCTTCCTCTCAGTCATTCCGCTTTCCTTGTCCTTTTGGAAGTCCTATATGCCTGCCGTTTTCGCCTTGTCATTGACTATTTTCCTTGTATAGTGACCGCTATCTTGGGTATTTTCCATGCGCGTTCTGCATCTTGTCCTTGGTTGTGTCTGTCATGCTCCATGTAGGTCCCACACACCTCATTCAAAGCATGTCTGAGCTACATTCCTTGGCTTTGGGCTTTGTCCATAATTTTACTTGGGTCTGCCATAGTGGTAGAGCAAATATTGGGCTGATAACTATGCCACCAGTATCACTAATCATTCATTCATTCATCATTACCCCAATGCCGCAGAGGCTCCCTACCTACGGTGGGGTAAGGGGGGGTCGGATGCACGCAGCCTTACCCCTGTACTAAAGCAAAGAGAGACTGTTTCCGGATGACCCATGGTGAAAATCACGTGGAAAATTGTATGGACTGATTGCTGCTACATAACAAAAAAGCGCAAACAGTTTAGTGAGCCATTTTGCTTTATTCTGTCATATTCCCAACCAGTATCACTAATCAATTCTTTAATTATTTTAACATCATGAGCGCTGTACAAATTTTATATTATTATTATTATTTTCAACTTTGGAGGGCGGGGGTAAAATCCACTTTCCAGATATCAGCAATAGCAAATTTCACTTTTCTGCGATATGTAGCCTTGCTGTTTTGGAGGGTATTGCAATAAGCTATGATCCAAATTACAAGGTTTTGGGCAGTACATATCCTTGGATTGCTAGGAAAGTACTGACTGACAGCTCACCCAAACTGAAATCTACCCTACGAGCCCTTCTTTACAAGGTGCATTGCATTTTCTTGTAGTTTTCTCAACATGACGTTCTGTGACATTTACCCCACCATAGTTCTAATTCCAAACCTTTTTGTTGTAAGGATGGTAAATTCAGGATAGATCGTTTGGAGTCTCTTATATCTGAGGTAAGTTTACGCATTTACACAAAGCTCCAAATTATATCGCAGACAATATATATCCTTCGGAGTTCATAGCTAGTTTGTTTTCCTTACATTGTAATCATTAATGAAGAACATATGCCCTCTTGCATCCAAAATTTCATGGACTTAAAGGGACGTTAGGGAGGGTGTGGAGGGGAAGTAAAGTGTGGAGGGTGGAGGTTTTCTTATTTCTGAAGAAAGCGAGTTACATATGATTTTTAGACTTATGGTAAGAAATAAATGGCCATGACATTTACTCCTTCGGAAATAAGGCCTGGACTTGTTGTTGTATACAACTCAAGAGAACTTATGCTCACTGGTGATAAATGTAAATGACCGTGACATCGAGTTTAGGCCAAATTATCATTTTATATCTTTTATTTCAAAAAATTATCCAGTTATATAGCAATACATCCCCCCCAAACCCCTCCATAACATACCCTAAAAAAGAGCAATCAAGTCAGACTGCAGAAGATTGAAAAATATGATGCATGGTTTTTATCTTACTTCATTTATTGTGATCTCGTAGAATGTTATCCATTTACTTTACTTCCTTAATCCTATCACATGTCCTAATACACTTGCCAGACCTTTTAGAGCTTGACTTGTCTTTAACAGTCCCTCCGTGCCCGGAAAGAGAAAACCCTCACAAGGGAGCAAAGTGACTTTCGTGAATCTAGGTTCATTTTCAAGCAAGTTCTTGCTTTTGCTTTGAATAAAAAGGTATAATGCCATATGATTGTTTCTGGAGTTCTGTAACATGTACACATCACAAACTTAGGATCTTTTCAGGTTACTTTCTTAAGAGAGGTACTTCTTGATGAGCTAGCTAAGGTATGCATTTCTTAGTTACAATGGAGAATTGGAGATGGGATGGCAGATTAGACCTGTTCAGTGCTTATTTTTACTTTCATCATTCCAACACACTGATATTCCTGTATCTTTTTTCAATTCTCATAATTAGGGTTTGGATGCACTCGGGCTTGCAACTTTTGATTCTATAACAACTGTGTCTACAAACCTAGCATTGTCTTCTTCCTATTCATTTTCTTTGATGACAGATGAAGACATTGTTAATCTTAGAAACTTGCAGCGTCTTATATTATTTCTGCAAGGACTTGATAAAAGGCCTGGCATGGTAAGACATGGAAAATTGGAGATATCTATTCCTTTTTTGTTATAAAAATGGATAGATTTAGTGTCATCATGAACTAGATTTCAGGCAGGACAGAATATCTTTGCGAAACAGTTCGATTTGAATTTTCTTGCATGTCTATCAGTTAAGTTTTTTTTGGTGGAATGGGTAATGGGTTTCAATTGATAAACCAGGTATCTTTGTGGTTTTGAAACATAGGTATGCTCAATTTATTTGATTTTGGAAGGAGTCTGAAGAGTTGCCTGCACGAAAAACTGGAGGATCACAGTAAAAAATTTAGATCCATGCAATTGATTTGATTACTTTTGTAACCATTGTTTTCATCTTAGTGTTGCGCGTTTTCATCTTATGTAATTGCCTTATTGATAGAGAGCAGAGAGAGCAAGGGGCGGGGACGGGCTTGAGCCCACCTTCGTGGGCTGGCTGCGGACAATTTAATTAATTTTAATTATTCCTTTTAATTAAATTTCCTTTTAATTTGATTAGGACTTCTATTCTTATTAGAATTAGAGGTTTCCTATTTCTATTTAGTTTCCTAGAATGATTTAATTAGGACTTCTACTAGAACTAGAGGTTTTCTATTCTATTTAGTTTCCTATTATGATTTAATTAGGATTCCTATTCTTATTAGACCTAGAGGATTATATATACCCCTTGTATGCTTCATTCTTGATCATCTTGGAATAAAATTGGAGTTTAGCCTTTTGGCTCTGGGCAACGTTGATTATCTGGGCAACGGTTTACCTCGTTGATTTTATTTTTCCGTTACACAACAATTGGTCCGACCTGCCGGATCCCGCCCCGCCGGAATGACAAGATCTCAGAACGAAACGAACGACTGCCAGAATTGGAGGCCGAACATGCCCTGATCAATCAAAAGCTTGACACGCAAGGACAGAAACTTGGCGTGCAGGGGCAGAAACTTGACTCGCAAGGAAGAGCAGGCCGCCCAGCTTGCGGAAATCGCAGCCTCCCTGGCAGCGATCGCGAAGGCCATGGTGCCGCCGGCGAAGTCTCCAAGCGTGACCGTCGAAAGCGACTCCTCCGCCCACGTCGCGACTGTCTTCCCCGATGATGGCGGAACGCGCAGCGCTTCCACGACGCTACTTCCCTCGTTCGACGGTGAAGACCCGATTGGATGGCTGACGAGAGTGGAGCAACAGTTAGAGCTCAACAGAACCCCACCTCACAGACAAGTTGGAAGGGGTTGCCCTCTTTTGGGTGACTTGGTTGAAGGCGCGCAAACCCGGCATGACCTGGGCAGACTGGTGGCCAGATTTGATTCCCGATTTCAGGGTAATCAGTTTGAACGCCTGGCTGGCGCCAAACAAATTGGATTAGTGGAGGACTACAATACCCTATTTGTTCAGTTAGCCAGTCAAGTTCTGGGATTGTCCGATGATCGTTATTTGGGATACTTCATGAACGGGCTAAAAGAATCAATCTGCAGCTCGCTACACTTGTTTCGACCAGGTAACTTGGAAGAAGCCATGAAATTAGCTCGCAATGTGGAACATAATTTGTCCGTCCAGAATGGAGGAAGTGGCAGCCCGAATTATATTCCAGCAGGGGTACGTTCCAACAACTTTTTAATGTCAAACCCGAGTCCTCCGTTGACTGCCAGTGGTGGCAACCTACAGGGATCAAGCGGCAGCTTTCCGAAGGATAGTGGACAGCACCCGGGCACAATGTCAGGACTGTCCGGGCAGCCTGCGACACGCTCTCAGTTCACTCGACTTCCGCCGAAAGAGTTTGCAGAATTGCGGGCAAAAGGATTATGCTCTATGTGTAAGAAACCATTTACACCAGGGCATGACTGTCCCTTTAAGCAGTTATGGGTAATGATAGCTGAGGAGTATGAGTTGGACCTCCAACAACATGAGTATTGTGAAATAACCGGCCAGGAAAAGGTTCTGAAAGGCCAGGGGAGTCCGGAAGGAGATGAAGGATATTTTTCAGTCTATTCTATGGCTGGAAATTTCAGTTCACGGTCCGCGAGATTTCAACCTTCAGGACAAGGTTATTGTGAAGGAGGATGGATTGATAGAGAGCAAGGAGAGCAAGAGGCGGGGACGGGCTTGAGTCCACCTTCGTGGGCTGGCCGCGGACAATTTAATTAATTTTAATTATTCCTTTTATTTTATTTCCTAATTTATTTTGTTTCCTAGTATGATTTAATTAGGACTTCTATTCTTATTAGAATTAGAGGTTTCCTATTTCTATTTAGTTTCCTAGAATGATTTAATTAGGACTTCTACTAGAACTAGAGGTTTCCTATTCTATTTAGTTTCCTATTATGATTTAATTAGGATTCCTATTCTTATTAGACCTAGAGGATTATTTATACCCCTTGTATGCTTCATTCTTGATCATCTTGGAATAAAATTGGAGTTTAGCCTTTTGGCTCTGGGCAATGGTAATTTTACCGTTGATTATCCGGGCAACGGTTTACCTCGTTGATTTTATTTTTCCGTTACACAACACTTATCCCCAGACATTCTTACTCTTTACCAGAATTTACTTAATCAATTTAAGGGTCTTTTATGACGCAATTGGGCAACCATTAAGTTTAGACGCTCCTCATTACTAACTGTTATTAAGAGGGCTAATGACTTCAACTTATACTCTAAGCAGGGGGAGCTATCAAACAGAGCACCTTTTTCCCTTGCTCATTTTGGATCTGCTCAGGAACTGCTATCACTTCTTTCTGTCATTGCTGAGGTAAATATTACTCATTTACTTCCTACGTTCTTTAAAACTTTGCGAAGTTTGATTGACACGCAGAATAATAAAGTAAAAATTGTGTGATTGACTTTTGTGTAGAGGAAAGAGAAATAATAGAAACCACAAATTAATTGAGTAAAAGGGAAAGTGACAAAGTATTAAGGACAACCAAAAAAGGAAAGATGACAAAATTATAAAGGACGGAAGGAGTAATATGTAAAATTGTTAAGATCTGATGTTCCATTTTAAAAGGTCAACCTGATAGGAGGAGTAGCTCATATGTTAATATAGCACTTTGTTTATCCAAATGTTTCCGGTGTGGGACATTTAACACCCCTTCTCACGACCAGACACTTCGTCTGGATCGTGCAATCATTCATTTTTTTCATCAGTTCGTTTTTTTTTTTTCATCCGGACGTTTTTATAGTCGTGTCATCATTTTTCATAAGGGCCCCACACCATGGATCGATTTGGCTCTGATACCATGTTAAGACCTGGGGTTTCATCCTAAAAGATCAACCTGATAGGAGGAGTAACTCATATGTTAATATAGCACTTTGTTCATCCAAACGTTTCCGGTGTGGGACATTTAACAAAAATCTTTAAATGACCTATCAAATAGTTGTGTTTTCTTTATTGTTATGAAGAAATCAGGGTATTTGTTATGCTCTATTCATCTGCCCAACTGCTTGACCCTAGGAGTTAGTGTTATGGCCATATATTACGATGGGAGCATGCATGTCGGAGTGAACTTGGGGGGTGGCCGGGTGGGGGGTGGGGGAAGGTAGCGGCAGCTGCCAAGCTAACTTATTTAGATTGTGCACTACCAGATTTATATGAATATCTGTTCACTCCAATCTCCAGTGCATTCTAGGGTGCTCGTTCAAAGACAATAAAACATGGTGCAATGTTAAGTGTAGTGTAAAATACGGTATGCATAGACCAATTTTCTCACATCTCAATATGATGTCAAATACTCAAATGTTAGTCACTTAGTTGAGACCAGTACTTTGAGATTCGATACATTTTTCTAATAGCCAAAAGTTGCCACTAGTAAAAATTTGTTTTGCATGGGAAAATATACTTCTTTCTCACACCAATGAAGACCATTTACATTCCATTCTTGCATGAACATGTACCCGTGTGGGATCTCAATTAAAATCGCGTCTGGGGATGTGGGATCTGACACCCATGCTCTCAAATCTCAATTCACTAGACTACTAAAGCGACCATGTACATACTATACTTGCATTAAACATGTAGGGCTTTCATCTATGTGGTTCATTAAAACTAGTATCTATGCACTTTAATCTTTAACACATTTAGCAAAGTAACTTTATGACAATATTTTTACGCACATGAAATTTTGATTTTTTCCCCATATTTGCAACAGCGCCAAAGATACTATTTTTTTTGGCTTGGGAAATGGGAATGTGATGGAATAAAACAAATGGTTCACAAAACCGTATGTGCTTTATTTTGCCGTGATTTTCACCTTGAGTCATTCGGAAACAGTCTCTTTATGCTTTAGTACAGGGATGAGACTGCTTACATCCGACCCTCCTTATCCCACTTTACCCCACCATAGGGCCTTTGCGTCACTGGGGTAATGATGATGATGACGATGATGATGAAATTTTGATTATTTTTTTACATAGCTGCGTAAGCGGTTCAACATAGTGGAGAAATGGTTTGACCATTAACCCTGCCTTGTCTGTATAATCAAATCAAGTTTTGAAATACTAGCCTAAGCACAGCAGTCAGACCCGAATATTATGAATTTTGTCTTTTCATTAATGCATTTGCTCTTATTTTGTACATATCTTCCCCATTAAAATTAGTGTCCGTTTGGTAGCCAACGTTCTCAGTTTATCAGCTTTATTTGGTAACCAAGACATGGAATGGTTAAAAAGGGAAATAAATATGTTTTGTGGCTGCTTTTTGGCTGAACCTGCTTAACTTCAGCAAATTCAGCGGATCCAATGTAAACCTCATCAGACGTGCTACTAAAATATATTAAATTATTTGGCAGCTCCCACAAGATATGCAACAAGAGTTGGTGTTGCGTTTACCAACTGATTTAGCAGGAAAGGTAGCTTCACGTGTTGCTGCGAGGACACTGCGTAGGATCTTATTGTAAAGAGATTCTCTATCTATTACAGTAAAATCTATAGAAGACATCGAGTGTGTTTTGAATATAATAGTACTGATGAATGAATTTTTGAGATTTAATCTTTTACCAAACCAAATTGGATTGTAATTATTTCCTTCATAAATGAGCTCAAACGTTTCAGTTCATCATGTGTCATGCTTGGTGAACAATAGATTGAAATTCTCAGTTAGAAGTTAGAGGAGTCTTTTTGGAAATCGGAATCGTTGTGGTTTGACAATGTGCTATTTTATTTTTAAAAAGGGTAAGATGCTGAGAGTAGATTGGTGATATCTATTTCTCTTATAATCTGAAGACCTTGCAATGTTCTTTGCATTCAAGGCCACACAATCAAACTCTTGTCTTCCTTTCATACATCACTTGTGCTACTTAACTCTCTTTTAAACTTAAGGTTAACTAAATATTTAACCAAGTTATCCCGTATTAAACGGGCTTTTTAAAAAGCCCAAGCCTTGCTTGTTTATTAAACAGGCCAGGCCTTAAACAAGTCAGGCCAAAGGCCCTTGATAGGCCGCCTGGCCTATTCCCACCCCTACTTGGAGGGTATTAGAGGGCAACTCGAGGAACTTTTGGGAATCTCAATTTTATATTGACAAATGTGGTAGAAATTCATCATTGACGAAATTAATTATTCTTAGAAGAATCAGAATATTAGATGTCATGTATGAGTGCATCTAGATTCGAGAGTTGCGGTTCACCTACTATTGAGTGATGACAATCTCACACACCAGCACTCTTCTAAGGTTGCCAGTTTTCAGGAGATGTTGGATTGGGACTGGATGATCAAAGTTGACCAATATATTAGGAGGGTAACCGGGCTGTCGATTTCTCGACTGGCATAGGCCATAGTTTACCTTTTGGTGTTCACTTCATATGCATTGATGATCCTACTTTATCCCTACACATTTTATATGATTTGTTAGGGGTTTCTCAGCCTCCGTTGATTGTGAATGAAAGATATGCGCTGATGCGCCTATGGTTTTACCAAAAAAAAAAAAAGAATATTAGATGTAAGGTGAAACTTTTGAGGAGGAAGAATCCCTTGAAAAAAGTAGGTATTTAAAGTGAAGATGATTGTCTAAGAGATAAGTTCAATCTTAAAGGAGGCCTGAGAGATGAAATATGTTGATCAAGAGCTCAATGATCGTAAACTATTAATTTAAGATCTAAATATATATTTTAGGTCTTAAATTGATACTCCCTCCGTCTCGAAAAGGTTGATCAAATTTCCTTTTTTTGGGATGTCCCAAAAAGATTTGCCTTTCCATTTAAAGTAAGGAATATGTGGTTAAAGTTAATTTTCTCTCTGCACAAATTTCAACCACACAGTTATTACTTTATTAATCCATGTGAAAGTCAGTTTTGGCCAACCTTTTCGGGACGGAGGAAGTATTTTTTAACCACTCGGAGGTCAGCTTAACAGGATCATTGTCTTACATATATTTATGTAATAATAATATCTATACATTGGTATATAGATATTTTGACGTAATCACCCGATAACCCGCTCATGATGGACAAAATGCATTTGGTCATAATTTTTAATAGATGATGGACGAATGCGTGAAACATGAACAACTGAAGGGTGAATATGAGTTACCCACACATGTAGCTCAGTTGGTCTAGTGATGAAAAATTTGGAATAATGACTAAGGATCGAAACCCGCAACAGCCGTGTGGAGGTTACATTTCCTGCGCGATGGGTTGGTCCTCTGGTGCGCGCAGGTATAAGACCACCATCATCAGGCCGATTTAGTCACCGTGATTTACTCCACCATTCTGTCGGGTCAAAGTGTGGGGGCTCCTGGGTGAGAGATTCCACCTTTTGAAACAACGAAGGATGTAGAGACTATATAACCAAAGGTGGATAGGGTGGGTCTTTTGTATTATGGGCCGCGAGTTTCTTATTGGGGTTAAGGTTTTTACTCTCTTTAAATACCTGTTCTCTCATTGTAATCATTATCAGAAAATAATCGTAACATCCTGACTTGATAGCGCCCCCAAACATAGTTATTTTTTGTGAACTGGGTAACCAAACTCTTGTGTTTTCTTATCGTTTTTCGTATTGTGTGTGTTTAAATCCCAACATGAACCTTCACCCATTTCACAAGGATGTTACCAATACTTATAGTATATTTTGCTACTTCAGCCAAATAATTGACGTGTAACCTCATTTTGATGAAATGAATGTTGCGGAACATCGTTGTGATGTATACAAATATTTTTACAAGTCTCACCAGTTGAATCTACAAAGAATGTTACATAAAGCAAGGTTTTATGTAATCTAAAAAGGCAAAATTTAGAGCAAAGAAAGCAAAATTTCACCAATAATCTCTACAAGAACAAGACCCGTCTTTAAACTTGTGAAATCGAGCCCTATCCCTTACAATAATTTCCCTCCCATAAACCTTTGAAACAAGCTTCATGACAATGTGACAATCCCCACATATCCTTATATTCTTGTTTACACAAATCCGGGTCCCATCTCCTGTACTAATCAAAGCAAAAGCTACCGCCAACTTCTCACTATGGTAAGCCAGTGCGTTCTCCTTCTCCTCATCCTCTATATCATGCAACACATACTCCGTTTCTGGAACATACCCACACTCACTTATTCTGAACCATACCTCATTTAGTTTCCCATAAATGGCATTCCACTCCAGGTGGTTCTTATCTCCATTCACAAACTTGTACATCAAACCATTAACTTCAACATAACTAAAACCAGGCACTTTCTTGACATCCCAGTTCTTCATTGCCTGTCTGACTCTTCCTACATCAGTCCACTTCTTGTGGGCAGCATATAGATTGGAAAGCAAAACGAAATCTCCACAACTGTTTGATCCCATTTCAATGAGCTTGTCTGCTGCCTTCTCGGCCATATCCAAAGCTTTGTAAGTCTTACAAGCCCCTAGTAGTGTCTTCCATAACACCACGTCTGGAACCATAGGCATTGACACTATAATGTCATATGCTTCCTTTAACTGCCCAGATCTTCCCAACATGTCTACCATGCTACCATAATGCTTCATATTTTTTATCACTCCATGTTTCTCCATTGACTGATACAGTATCATGCCTTCCTCCACCATGCCGGAGTGATTACATGCACATAGTGCTGCCAAGTAGCTCACACTGTCAGGAACCGCCCCTTCCTGAGTCATTCTTTTGAAAAGGTCAAGTGCTTTGACTCCATCTCCGTGCACTGCAAGAGCCATGATCATCGTGTTCCATGTAACTAGACTTTTTGAGCATGGCATTTCATCGAACAGTCTGTGCGCTCTGTCCATAAACCCACATTTTGCATACATATCAATAACTGCATTGCAGACGAACACATTCAGATCAAGATTCTTGATTCTTATGTACTCGTGGACCCTCTCACCTTCTGAGATTGCTCCAAGTTGGGAACACGCAGATAGAGCGCCGAGCACGGTTATGTCATTGGGCTCGGTGTTTGCTTCCCTCATTTTCTTGAACAGCTCCAAAGCTTCAATGGGCCGGTTCCCCTGAGCAAACCCAGCAATCAAAGCGTTCCAGCTTGCCACATCTCTCATTTCCATTTCTTCAAATACCTTGTGAGCGTAATCCAAGTCACCGCATTTAGCATAAGCATCGAGCAAGGTCGTACGGAGCAGGAAGTCGGAGCTGAAACCAAATCGAACGACGCCGGAATGGATTTGAAACGTCTGGAATCGGGCCAGAGCTCGTGCGCAGGCCTTGAGCGTGAACGAGCACGTGAGGGCGTCTGGCTTGCAATGGGAACGTAGCATTTGGGCGAAGCTCGTAACGGCGTCGGTTGGGTGGTCGCTCTGGGCGAGGCCGCGGATAATGGCGTTCCAGTCATTGGTGAGCGGAAAAGAGATGTAGCGGAAGATGGAGGCGGCGTAGTGGAAGTTGCCGACGGAGGAGGAGGCGCAGAAGTCGAGAAACTTTGCACGGTAAGGGTATAAGTGGAAAAGGCCGGTGGTTATAAGGTGGGCTTGGAGCTGCTTAATGTGTAAGAAATTGGTGCACTTAGGCAACAACGACTCCACATATGCCATGCCGCATCTTAGACTGGCATCGTCTTTGGCTTATTAAATTGTGGACTGAGATTAGATATATAGAAAATGAGATTTTGAAGGCCTTTTTAGTGACAGAGATATTTTTTAGTTTTCCAAAAAACTGAAAAATTGAAAAATGCAAAATAGAAAACATATTAATCGAAAAAATTGTTGGAAAACTGGAAAAAAGAAGACAGAAAATGCTTAATCAAATCGTTTTCCAGAATCAAATCGTTTTCCAGAACTGAGGTATATGTTTTTGTTTTCCTTAAGGGCTCGTTTGGTATGATGTAAAGTAAACACTTTGCATGCAAAGTGTGGGGGAAGTAAACATTTTACACCGTTTGTTTTAAATATTTAATGTAAACTGTAGGGTGCTTTTTTTACAACACTTTACACCGTACCATGTAAAATATTTTACGTGGGGATGGTGGTAAACTATTTTACATCCGTTAATTTGGAGAATGAATGTATCGATCTATTGTGTAAACTTATACTTTAGCCGCTGGAACATATGGCGATAATGGAAAAATCTCTTGCAAAAGCCTATTTTTTTCTCCAAGACTCCATAAAAACAAAATCATCAACCATCATCTGCAAAACTCTTCTCCAGGCTATCTGCGTCTAATAATTTAGGTATAGTGATTTTTTGAGTCTCTTTTTTTACATCAACCGTTGGGCGACTTACCCCTTCCATATGAACGCAGACCAGCAGCTACTGCCAGCCAAGCACGATCGTGCCTGCAAGGGTAGGCACGAACGTGCCTAATTCCGAAAACAGAATTTCAGCATTTTTTTTACCCCAGTTCAATCCAGACTCATCTGTTTGCTATAAATAAGTTCTCCCTTCTTCTGTTTAAGTGTTACGAGCCAGATACAACACATTATAAAACATACAACACACCTGTTCACAAACACATACATAACACCTACTCTCAACAACATACAAAACACCTTGTAAATACCCTTTACAAATCGAATACAAAACCTTAGATTCATAACCGGTAAATACACAGTACAATCATCCAATTTTCATAACAAGTAATCATCTAATATTCATACTCGAACACATCAAGATAACATACAAGAGTTTACAAGAGAAAATACGTAAAATGTTGTAAATTGTTCCTACAACATCTACTGTACAAGAAAAACTGCAATACAAAAGACAAACAAGAGTTTACAAGAGAAAATACATAAAATGTTGTAAATTGTTCCTACAACATCTACTGTACAAGAAAAACTGCAATACAAAAGACAAACTACAAGTTCTCATGGTCATCTTGATCATCTTGGTCATGGAGATGTTGCTGCTGATGTCTACGCCTACGCCGTAGTCGTGGTTGAAGAACCACTCTGTCATGTTGCGTCTGGGATGATGAAGCCGCCGCTGCACTAGACGTCGATGGCATCTCCTGAGATGGGGGCATGTGTATAAGATGGCCGTAGTCAACTCGCCCCAACACATCTGAACACAAGGAGGCAATGCCTGTCAGAGCCTGTCCATACATGTCCACATCATGAGTATCACTCACTGTGGCAGTAGTCCGCTGATTATACGCTGCAAAGCTCGTGTCTGAAATATGAAACACAATTACAATTACATTGAAATACATACAAGTATTAAATAAATAAAATGACTTACTTTACTAATTAGTAATATACTCACCGTAAGATGCAAAGCCAAGGAGCTAGGCTGATAATGATGAAGAGAGTCTGAATGAAGGAGACACAAACAAACGAGTGATGTTGTAATACCATCCCATGTAGTCTCTTGAAACAGATGGGACAAATATCAGTATCCCAGTCACAACTAGCTCAGCTCGCCTGTCCCACGGAGTGACGTATCAGACATGTCTCAGTGCCCAATCCTCTGTATGCTTCCCACGCTTATCAAGCCTATGAAGCTCTACATAAGTGTAGATAGGCCGTGGAATAACCTGCTCAAACCCAAACTATCGCAAGACTCGATCTGGCAAATGCATCTCAACAATGTCAAAACATATCAACGGCACACGTGCTCGCCATATGTGACTGTGCTCTCGTCCAGCTGGGGGCAACTCTGCAAACATCTCAGCTGTATACGTCATTTATGTAATCTGTTTCATAAAGATACAAAATTAGTATTTATGCTACACATATTATAGTTAATGTTATATTACCCACACCATACCTGATCCTCAGACATCCGATCAAATGCATCCCTGTAGACACCGAGCCCAATACGGATGACACGCGACATAGACCAGCAAATAGCCATCTAACCATTCATGTAACCGTTTCATTAATATGGATATTATTAATATATTTACATTCAACATACAATAACATAAATACCAACGATTGAAAACATACTGACGGCCCAGAGGGTCCTCGCCCCATACATGATGTGGTCCCAGAAGACGTGGAGGCTCATCAGGCAGTGGGTGTCCATCAATGCCATGATATGCGACTACAATGAGAGGCCCAATGTGGATATACTCCCATGACCAAATCTGGAGGAGTATGTATATATACACACACATACAATATATATATACATTGATATGAGATCATAAAGCTCTGCTAGTTGAGCGTCAATACATTTTCACTGAACATCAATCATCCTCCATTGAGTATTAGAAGTCTACAATTGAGCATCGTTATCTCTGCTCCTATGTCTATTATCAACTTCTATGCGATTATAATGCAACATGGTACTTTTTAAATTATTGACCGGGCTGAACTTGCAAGTGTACAAGTGCCGATATAGTAATAAATTCCGGTAAAATACCGGGTCGAATCCACAGGGAAACGTTGTTTAATTTAGTCCGCGAGTAGATGACTTTGAATAAATAAATGAGTAAAGTGTAGAGATTTTGTGTGTTGTTGAGAAAACAACAACTTGGTTCTTCTTTTTAATTTTCAGAGATATAACTTGAATTAATTTGATTAAAGTGATTGATAACAACAACTAAGGCTTCGGGAATCACTTAAATGCTTTAATAGGGTTGAATATTAGTTCTTTACCAATAATTATGAATACGATGTCGCTAATATATTCTCAACTCCGGTTAAGGCAGCGAGAGCGTGGTTTTCGTTACGTGTAAGTCCCGTTACGGCTTACATTCATCTACCGAAAACCCCGTTGAATATCAAGACATCACACCCGTATCATATAATACCGGATATATTTCTATTCTCGGTAATATATATGTTTATCCTTTAATGTTCATAGTTTAGACCTCAACGTTAATTGCAAGCATAAACTAAGTTTAACATACTTCTATGTTGTACACCATAGTCATAAACAATCAAAATGTAAAGGATAAATCACAATTTATTGGTTTAGAACTTTTATCAAACACCTAGTGGGCATAGAAGTTCATCCCTAGCCTTAGCTAAGAACTTAGCCTCTAATGCTCATATTAATTACAAAAGTGTAACTAAGATAAAGGAAATACAATAACATACAAGAAATAATACCTAGAACCAATTGTAGAGGAGAGAAATGGCTTCTTCTCCAACACTTCACGAGAATGCAAAAATAAAATATAAAAACTGAAATTTAAGCTCCAAGGATGGATTGATGATCTTGTTTGATGAATTGGGGGCTTTATATAGGCTAAAGATTGACATCTTTTAGTCTATTCGAGCCCAACAATCAAGCATGGAAGATATATTTGATTAGCTCATGAGGAAGATGAGTTTTTTCCATCAATATATCTCAGCACGATCTTTTGTATTTGCAGGATCAGGCCTACCCGGCGCCGGCCATCAGGCCTACCCGGCGCCGGGTAAGCTACTGGATTGGCTGGTGCGAAAATCTGCCGGGCCGGCGCCGGGTATAGGGTGGGCCGGCGCCGGGTATCTCCCCCTTTTGTATTTTCTCCACTTTTCGCTCCATTTGACGCCCGTTGTTGACCCCGATGTGCCGGTTCTTGGTCCCTTTTTCCCCATTGACTCTCATTTCTTCATTTTTGACGTCTAAGTGCGATTTCGCTCAAATTGGGATTTTTATCTGTTTTATCTTTGAAAATTTGTACAGATAATCATAATTACCTATATAAAATATAGATAATTGTTGTGCTTATCAAATTCCCCCACACTTGAGCGTTGCTAGTCCTCGAGCAATGTCGTCACCTTGTATGTTTTGGGTTAGTTTCAACAAAGACATATACAAAAATAAATAAATTTTTTAAGAGAGGTAAAAGTGGCATATGAACTCTTTTCTCATTCTCGGTCCAAAAACCATTTTTTTTTAATTAAATACAAAAAGTATCATTTAGATTTAGAAAACTGCTAATACTCTTGAGAATAAAGGAGTGATTTGTGACTGTGACTCTTTTGGGTGAGTAGGATGGCTTTTTGGTGTGTTTTTGACTTTCAATTGTATGAATCAATTGAACTACTAAATTGAGACCATGAGTTGTTTACTTTTTTTTTTAACTCATTTGAAAAAGGTCTTCAACTAGTATTTACTGAGAGTCATTTGATGATGCCAATTTATTTGATGAGGTGTGAGAATGGGTTTTGTGTTCCAAAATGGTGCTTGAATGTAGTATTGACCATTTTTTGGAAATGAAGGAAGGAGATGCTTTCTAGTCACAAGAATTTATTTTTTTTGGAGTAATTTTCAAGAGTAAAGAGTAGTCTAAAGAAAATGATAACTTTTGTAAATAAAAAAAAAAAACTTTCTCAACCAAATACCCTTTAAAAAGAGAATTATGACAATTTTACCTTCCAAAAAAAAATTATTTTTGCACACAAAATTTGTTTTGAACTACCCATGAGATGCACCCCCCCACACTTATAATACATTGTCTCAATGTATCATGCATGATAAACAAGTACTTTCAACAACATCCACAATAAAGGTGTGTTTAGAGGAAAGTAATGTCATGAGAAAAATGAGATAAGAGCAGGGGGAGTCACTGGTGTGGGTCGGTAGGGGGGTACCCATGTTGGGAGTAGTAGTAGTTGGTGAATGTGTCGAAACGCTCCTCAAACCTTTGTTGGCGTGCGTCCTGCTCGTCCATTCGC